AAATCAATCCAATACAAGAATTTTGCTATTTTGTTGCTGTTCGTGTGTTGTTATAATCCTTACCTTCTTTTTTGTCCCTGATTTCACTCCTAAAGACATGGTCACCGTAATTATAAGAATTATAAACGGTGTATAAGTCACGCATGGTAAGATCCGCAACAGTGATACGATTAATACGATATGAGAACACGAGCACGGGAATATGCACCATTTGATTCATGTGTTCAAACATTTATTTTAATTTTTTGACTACTTGTTAGTTTCGTTTTACCATTCGTATCCAGTGAAATACATTTTTCAAAATTTAGTGTTATCACCATGTCGTGATAATATGTTGCGTGTTAGGAATTCATTTAAAATTCAACCATTCCTGTAAATTTCGAAGATCTTTCGAATCATTCGTAGTTAAAAAAATACGTATATTCTGAAACTTTACTAGGATTTCGGAATACTACATCTTAACTTGCGAATTTAGTTAAGATGCTACCATTCATATCAATTTCTAATCATTCATAGCCAGTAAAATACATTTTCCAAAGTTTTGCCAACATTCCATGATAATACGTATCAATTTACGAATTCATTTAAAATGCAACCATTCATGTCAATTTCTAAACTCTTTTTAATCATTCGTAACCAAAAAAATACATTTTTCAAAATATCACCAGGATTTCATGATAATACCTGTCAATTTGCGCATTCATTTAAAATGCAACCATTCAAGTCAATTTTTGATCATTCATAGTCAGTGAAATACATTTTCCAAATTTTCCAAAGTATAATTTCGTAATAATACGTATTAATTTGTGAATTCATTTGACCTTTAGACCGCCGACATTAATCACTTCAAAACTCCTTTAAGAAGTCACGTATAATATGATTATATCAAGGATGTATCCCATGTAATATACTCATCAATATTTAAGCCGATATTTCGACTTTCCGACGGTCTAAAAGTTAACATGCAAACATTCATGTCAATTTATAAGCTCTTTTCAATTATTCATAACCAGTCAAATACATTCTGTATATGTCATTCTGCGAGTTCGTTTAAAATGCAACCATTCATGTCAATTTCTAAGCTCTTTCTAATCATGCATAGCCATTAAAATACATTTTCCAAAGAATAACCAGCATTTCGTGGTAATACGAATCACTTCGCGAATTTATTTAAAATGCAACCATTCATGTCAATTTTTAATTCGCAGCCAGTAAAATATATCTTTCAAAGTTTTTCATTAAAAACTGTTGTAAAAACCAGTGTTTCAAGATTTTTTCGTAGCACACGAAGACGTTTTATTTGTCTGTCGTACGTTTTATTTTTCTATGTTTTCAAAAAACATTGTTATTACAAAACTACGAATTGAGAAGTTTAACGTTACAATGAAACCGAACTGTAAATAAAATTGTCCTGTACAACTGTCTTTAATATTATAGACATGCAGTGTTTGAAACACTTGAATAGTTTGTTCCCTTGTATTATTGTACAAAACATGTTTCACATAAAACCGAAAAGTCTGCGCATGTTTCGGTACAAAGCAAAAATAAATTTCTTTTTATAAAATCCAGTTCGAATGGTTCTAAATAGAATAATAGCATCTAAATGCATTCCATCACAATAAATGTGAATTACTTCATATGGTACCAATAATAAATACAGTTATTATTCTTACGCTTACTATCATTTTTACGACAGATCACTGGCAACAAAATTTGGGTATCGTTGTATGCGGAGCAAGTGTTCTGTTAACAATCGTCTAAAAAACGTGTATAAAAATACAATTCCTAAATAACGTAATTCAAAGCTCCGTTCGTTAATATAATGACGGAGCTCTAAGTTCAGTTATTAAAATTTCCATTTACGACCTATATAATAAGTATAGGTGGTACGGCGAAATATATAAGAATTAAATTCTATATGTTTGCTTGCGCAAAACATAATGATCAATGATGATGCTGTAAGTAAGTCGTACATTTAATTCGTAACACAACAAGTCAGTCTTGCCCTAATCCCCTCCTTGTCATTATCTCCAACTTTCTGTAAACGTTCATAGATTCTTCTAACTGTCGTTCGATGCTTAGTTAAGTACTAGGCATTCTCATCTTCGTCCTCGGAAGTCAGTGTTATATTATCAATACGTCGTGGTAATAATAAAGCTACGTGCCCATATCTAAATAACAATCACGTTTTACAGAAACGAAAAGAAACTAATTTAGTTTTTAATATCGCGCAAAGGAACTTACTTGCTGCTTTTGTATTTCTCTTGGATGGCTTGCTGCTGTATATTTAACGCGTTGCAGAAGGTCTTGTGCAAGCAAAGAATGCATTCCTTCAGGTTTATCAGGCTGTATCCAGTTGACAATTCTAGCTCGTGGGGCCACATTTCTTCTAATAACGTGTGTCTTGCGAGTGCTATCGCAGATGCAGCTAAATGACTAGGTACAAACTGCAGATACGGATCCCCTTCGAGCATTGACAATTCGCTCAAATACTAAAAAGCACACATAATTTAATTTAAATATAAATCACATATTACGATCGAAGTATTACGTGCAACTCACCATTGCTAAAAATTTAATTTTGTCAGATAGATTATTGCTAATACAGAATTCCATTAGGAAGGTAAGCGGTGTTGGTACAGCTAGGTCGAAAGACAGAACCCTCAATATTAAATGCTCCATGCGTAATACCTGCTTCTTCGTGTACGTATCGTCTGTGATATATACAAATTCACCTACATCGGGTGGGTAAATTTCTTCGTATTTTCTGTAACATTCAAATATTATATCATGAGCGTGTTTATTCCCTTCAAAATAATGTGCATGTAGGGATTGAAAAGGTTTCGAAAATGACTATTTCAAACTCGTACAAGTATATTACTTCTAACGGAAACAGGAGAACCGAAATTGGATTGAAATTTAATTTTCAATACATAATTTAACAAGTTAATCAAAAGTGAAATGCATACTACGAGTTTTAAAATGGAGAAGAAATTCCTATTTAGATTTCATTTTCTACATTGATATTACAAATGTTTTTAAAGAAACGAGATCATATGTAAGTCAGGACCAATATACCTAATAAATGTTATGACATTTTCTCGGTTCTCGATAGCTGAAGAAAACCGATAACATAACTGTTTTCAATGTGTGTATGGAAAACTTACGCAGCAATGAACATCGCCGCTGTTCCAACAAGTTGTAGCTTCGCTCTTACGACGCTCATATATGACAAAAAGCGATCTATATATGAGACAGCCAAGTAGAGCGTTTCGGTCTGCAATCTATATTCCTCGGCAACTTCCACCAGCCAATCCACCAATATCGATCTCATCGAATACGTAATGTCCGGCTGTTTCTTCATGTATCCGGGTTTTGGTCTATGCTGCGTCTGAAACAAAATATTTAGTCAATATTACCCGTGACATAAGGAAACAATTTGTTTTTAAACGAACCTCTCTAGCACGCAAATAATTATATACATCAGCTCTGTATTCTTCGACGTCAAAGAAATTCATTCTGAGTTCTTTTGACTCTTTCCATTTTTGGTAATCTTTATTCATAGAAGATGAATAAGGCGTCGACTTCTCTAAAGACATCGGACTTCCTGGCGTAAAGATTACGTCGTTCTCTTTCTTTTGACTCGCATCTTGAAGGGTGTTACAAAACGGCTGTATGTTCAGCACGCTGATAGGATTCACTTCTAACCTGGGTTTTTCTCTAATGTCTGATTTAATGTCATGTTTCCCTTTGATCTCTTTCTTGTCGCGCGTGTCTCTAAGAGCAACTGAAGTTTCTTCCTCGAGCTTGTCTTCGTAGATTTTAAATACAGCTTCTTCCTTCTTCTCTTCGTAAATTTTAAACGCTTCGAATTGTGGGGGTAAAACTGCTTTTGCTTTCTGATACTTTTCATCTTTATAAATTTCCTACAAAACAGGCAAACTTTCTTTTTATTCTAGTTAACAGAGGGATAATTATTTGACAAAAGTGTGGAACATGGTCTGCAGAATGGAAAAAAAAACGCGGGATGGGAAAAATCATACGTACTTGTTTCGTGGTTCGGTTACAATTATTGTGAATAACTCCTAGAACGGCACGCTTCTGTGGTTGCAATAATTGACTCTGAAGGGGCATGGTAATATTTTCTTTGCCGCGGCGGACATCGCCGATTCGATTCTCCTGATCCTCGTGTACACGAATCGTGGCCATTGTTCGCTTTTCGATTTTCGCCAAAGTCTTCGATATATATATAAAACGATTCTTCCTCTTTTACTCGATAATAAATACTTTTAAAAACTGTGCATGCCCACTTCTTCTCGCGAGTATGACTCTATTCACCGTCCATGCATGGCAGACAAAATTTCGGAGCACCAAGCAACCGAACAAACTTCAGTTGCCGTTTGATTTCAAACAAACGTAACTTCAACAGCTGGCAATACGTTAACAGCGTTCCTCGAATAAACCAATGGGAACAGCATGTCCCTTCGAATCCGGAACACGCCAATCAGGTCAAACGTGCAATATTTAATCACGGCAAGCGACATCTACGCGGGAAACTATTACGGTGCTAATGCCCACCTGTGATGCCTGTGATCTTTGTTAAATTTACAATACGCTGATTCAATTCATAGTCGTTACTAATTTTTAAGATCGTCTTAAATATTTCCTATGTTCCTGTCTATCCCATATATCCAGTCCCTGTCCTATATGTACAGGAACATAATATGCCTTTGCGGAAACATGGGATAAACAGGGATAGCAAATGCTTAAGACGATCTTAAATGTAAGCAACGACTCTGAATACCGGCCATAGATTGCCTCTTGTTATTATTCAAATATAATATTCGCGATCTCCTCTGCAAATAAAAACCTACATTATATTGGTGTCTGTCATAAAATGGATAAAATTCATTCGTAGTTATATCGATGAACGTATTTGGACAAAATTAATGCCAGTCTTCGTATAGGCACTAAACATGTTCTTGAAACCATTTGCTTTTCTCGTTAGATACAGTTATATTTATCAAACTAAAAACATTATATTTCTTTTGTTAAAGTATATTTGAATTAAACATTACAAATTGCAACATGATGGTGTATAATAAACCTTGTTACATAACAATGAAATTGAGCCAGCTCGGGCATACGTTAGTTTTCCCTAGAGGGACAAAATTCAAAACGAGTAATAACATCTTATTTCTTCAATGCTCGATCTAGTATCGAATAAGAAATAATTTTAATGTAAGTAGTGGTAATGTGCGTAGATTAAAATTGTTTTTATTTTGACGCGTCAAAATTATGTTAAAATTCAACAGTATCCGTGCCAGATCGAGCATCGAACAAATAAGACGAATAAGCAAATTCAAAATTACGCGGTACATCATTGAGGGCAGCATTTGTGGGCTCAAAATGGCTCAAACAAAGCTGTTTTCGACGATATGCCCAACACTGGTTCGATTAGTGTTCGGTTCGGCGTTGAAAAAGTTTATTTGCTAAGTTCGTAATGATTTCACGATATCCGCAGCTGCAATTACGGCCCAAGTTCATTCAGTAGTAAAAGTTAAACGCAATTCGTGAGGTGCGCAATCTCTTTCTTCGATTTTACCTACTTCCTGTGTGAAAAGTGTGCGAACTCGAGGTTTTTAACCTTGCACATGCAACGATTCGCGTTCGTCGTTCTAAACTCTAAACAGGCAACAGTGATCGAAAAATTTCGCATTCGTTCTGCTGAACTCTGAACAGGCAATAGTGATTAAAAAAATTGTCGCATCGTTGAAGCAATAACCAAATACAAAAGAAATAAACCAGCAGGGTCTGCTAGCTTTTTGCTAGCCAAGAATTCAACGATTCGGGAAGTTAAAATAGCGATGAGTCCTTCGAACCGTGGGCCATTACTAGGTCCGAGAATTCCACCTGTTGCCGGTCTCCGGCCTCCGCCGCTTCCACCTCCGAGGTTTGGTGGCAGACTTCCACCTCCTCCAAGAATGCCTCCACCTTCTCCAAGAATGCCTCCACCTCCTGTGCGAATGCCACCACCACCTCCACCCCCGCCTACACCTCCACCTCCAGGTTTTGGACCGATGAGGCAAAGATTGCCATTTAATTGGCCTGGATTTGGGCCGAGAGTCAGAGGCATGGCTCCAATGGTTCCTCCGATGGGTCTGCGACCTGCGGGACCCAGAGGACCACCGATGAGGCTCTGGCACAGGAAAGCAGCACCACTTCAAGCCTTGCCTCACATGAGACCAAGATTTGCCATGGGCAACGGGATTCTCCAGGGCAGAGGGATGAATAATGTTAGAAAAGTCAGCAGACTCGAAGTATGCACGAATATCTACACTTAAATAAATTATCTTAAACGTCTAAGTTAGTCTTACCTTTTGTAAAATAAAGTACTCAAGTAAAATAAATTTTAGTTATTAAATTTTAAGAAGTCGTAAGTTCTTGGATTATTGTCTACGCTCCTCTTAAAGAGTACAATTGTTTAGGAATTGGAACTGAAGAAGCCGTGGATGACCGATGAGATTCGAAGCGAGATACAAAAGAAAAATAAGTTATACGTCAAAGCGAAGAAAAACAAGGATGCGAAGGAATGGGAAGAATTTAAAGATTTAAGGAACAAAGTAACGAAAATGATCAGAGATGCTAAGAATGATTATCTCACGAAAAATCCTGAACAGGTATGCCCTCGATCTTACTATAATATGTAATTATTTTGCTAAAAACTTAACAATAAATTTTTTTTATTTGAAACCTGTATGGTAAGTAATACTTACAAATAGGACAGCTTTATTGACAAATTTTTAGGTGAGTTATTTAAATCCCTTCAAATACTTCTAAAATTAATTAGAAATATAACTTGTCAAAGGAAAAACAATAAGTAAATATTTAAGGGAATTATTTCAAATGACTCACCTACTTTTTGTCTGCAATTTATTTCTTTAGTGTATGTTCGTAAAAATATAACACCATTTACAGTTTCATATCTGCATAAAAACTTAGAATCAAAGGTAGACCACCCTGTAGAAATAAATAATGATGTTATACATGTTTTTACTATAATTCTACCACTTGTTGAATTCAATTAGTGTTATACTTAAGGACTGTATTTGGTGTATCTTATAATATATGAAATAAAATATTCATTCTAGCAATTTATAGTTTCAAAACAGTCTGTAAAGTTTAAGCATTGGGAAATTGACACTTACTTGAGTTTATTTATCTTAAAGGTGAATTGTACCTAGAATTGGATACGGATAAATACAGATATATTTGAATAATCTTTCGAAGTAAAAGAAATTTATGTTTTGTTAACATTTATGTTGAAGTTATCGGTACTTATAATTGGCACTGTAAATTGAATTGTGTTCCAGTCGTAGTTGACGAGCTGCTTTGATTACAGGGTGGTCAAAAAGCAGATGATAAGAATGCGATTGAATCTGAGGGTGTTCAGAAAACTGAGAATGCGACTGAGCAATCAGAGCAAATGGATGTAACGGAGGAGACGCAGCCTTCCAGCGAACAGGCACAGTCTTTTAAGCTTCAGGCTACTCCTCCTATAATGTACTGAACAGTCGAAATTACACAAGTATTCTGTTTTCAAACTTCAGAACGATTTGCCTCTTTCGTTAATCTTTTTCATTTTGCCACGCAATTCATTTAAGATACAGCTATTGAATTAGCTACGTCGTTTTCAGTTACAAAACTTGTATTATCCATATGTAAAATACTATATTTCGCACTATAAGTTCACTTTAAGCATTTATATATTATAAGCAAATGCTGGTAAACTGTTATTACACAAAATGCTTTCAGAATAGAGATTACGTTTATGCAACTCATTTCTAAATAGTAATTGTGGAAAGAACTAATATTTCTTTTTTATTAGTATCAAGCGTGAAGTTTTATATGTCTCTTATATATATCTTCGTGTTAGACAAGCACGTCTACAATTTCTTATTTCGAGATACTTAAAAGTTGGCTTTTTGATAGCCGTAGTTGCTCCTTGGACAGTATACAGTGCTGCGAGCTATAACATTCCTAATCGAAGATTTAATCGAATCGTAAGAATTACAAAATATCTTCACGTTTTGACTCTTGAACATAGAATCGAATGGTTCCCTGCGTAGCTTGTGGCTCTGTATCGAGATATCATTTGTAATTGTTCGTTATTATATGTCGTAGTATTCCATACATTTTATTACTAACTGGATTGATATCTGACTTCCACGAAATATAAATTCGGAACAGAATCAATTTGTAATTAATTACATATTGTAAGAATAAATCCTATTTCTATAAGTTCTAAATATGGTGTCCCCAATTATTCTACGTACCACTAACAGAAAATTATTTTCTTGTTTGCGTTGAATAATCGTTCTGAATTATGAAAATGATTTAGGCTTTCTGTCAAGGTCTTGAAATTTTTAGTACAATTACGTTTATTTTATATTGTTATAAAACTCGAGTATACTACAATAATTGTAGAATTTCTCAGATTTGCTGCGCTACGTCCTTTAACACCGGCGATGATTTATTACTTATCTAAAGTTAAATCTCACAGTTTAGAAACATCTTCAAATACACTCTTAATTGTTCCAAATAGTTTCTCTAGCAATTGTTAGAGTTCAATAAGGATGTACGAAAGAACGACGAGAGTATCTCCGCTTCTGAATACCCTGTACAGGATTTGAAAAAATGTGTATTGAAGATTATCAGTGATAATTGTATTATATACGTGTGTTCTAAGTAATATTTCACAAATTTCAAAGGGAGTAATTTGATGAAAGACTTCGTTGTACAAAAATTATCGAACAATCATTGCATCCATCAGACAGAAACTGAAAGGATCTTCAGTCTGAAGTATCGTGAACTGTTCAATAATGATTGTGTTAAGAAGACGAATATTTGAAATGTTAAAAAAAATCCAAGTAAATTTTTAGGCCCATCTTTACGCGAACGACGATGAACCGTACGATCAGAGGGACGAGAATTACGTCAGTTCGGAGAACGAGGACTTATTTTACTGCGAAATATGCGACAGGGACTTCCCTGAAGAGGCTGCACTCGCTGAACATGAAAAGGAACATAAACTCTGCGGGATTGACGGATGCAACATCGTTGCTCATCCGATGCTCGTTGAAAAGCACATTGCTATGCAACATAGCACTGGTTTGTATAACAAAATTAAAAATGTATCCACACCAGAAGATATCGAAAAATGGATAATGGAAAGAAAGAAGTGAGTCGAAATTATTTTCCTAATTAACAAGTTTCATTTATGATAGTAGACTGCGAATCTTTATAGGAAATAAAACTTTTGTTATATCAGTTTAAATGATGAAACGAAAATTAAGATTTTCTTACCCTTCAAAAACAGACATGTGTACTTGTATATATAATGCATATTCTTGGATATCGAATGCATTCTTTATATTTTCTGCACATCCAATTTTTCTATAAATGAATAAAAATCCCAATCTAATATTGAATTATGAAAATGATTTAGGCTTTCTGTCAAGGTCTTGAAATTTTTAGTACAATTACGTTTATTTTATATTGTTATAAAACTCGAGTATACTACAATAATTGTAGAATTTCTCAGATTTGCTGCGCTACGTCCTTTAACACCGGCGATGATTTATTACTTATCTAAAGTTAAATCTCACAGTTTAGAAACATCTTCAAATACACTCTTAATTGTTCCAAATAGTTTCTCTAGCAATTGTTAGAGTTCAATAAGGATGTACGAAAGAACGACGAGAGTATCTCCGCTTCTGAATACCCTGTACAGGATTTGAAAAAATGTGTATTGAAGATTATCAGTGATAATTGTATTATATACGTGTGTTCTAAGTAATATTTCACAAATTTCAAAGGGAGTAATTTGATGAAAGACTTCGTTGTACAAAAATTATCGAACAATCATTGCATCCATCAGACAGAAACTGAAAGGATCTTCAGTCTGAAGTATCGTGAACTGTTCAATAATGATTGTGTTAAGAAGACGAATATTTGAAATGTTAAAAAAAATCCAAGTAAATTTTTAGGCCCATCTTTACGCGAACGACGATGAACCGTACGATCAGAGGGACGAGAATTACGTCAGTTCGGAGAACGAGGACTTATTTTACTGCGAAATATGCGACAGGGACTTCCCTGAAGAGGCTGCACTCGCTGAACATGAAAAGGAACATAAACTCTGCGGGATTGACGGATGCAACATCGTTGCTCATCCGATGCTCGTTGAAAAGCACATTGCTATGCAACATAGCACTGGTTTGTATAACAAAATTAAAAATGTATCCACACCAGAAGATATCGAAAAATGGATAATGGAAAGAAAGAAGTGAGTCGAAATTATTTTCCTAATTAACAAGTTTCATTTATGATAGTAGACTGCGAATCTTTATAGGAAATAAAACTTTTGTTATATCAGTTTAAATGATGAAACGAAAATTAAGATTTTCTTACCCTTCAAAAACAGACATGTGTACTTGTATATATAATGCATATTCTTGGATATCGAATGCATTCTTTATATTTTCTGCACATCCAATTTTTCTATAAATGAATAAAAATCCCAATCTAATAATTATTAAACTTTCATAAAAGGCATAAATATGCTGAATTCGTATGCAAATCTTAGAAGCGAATTGTACGCTAGAATATTTAATGAATAAAAGGGTTCTTTGATCCTATTTTCTAAATATTTTATTTTGTATAAAAGACTACAACGTAATCATGTTTCATATTACAGGAGGTATCCTACGAAAGCTAACGTCGAATTGCGAAAAGCGGAAGAGACAGAAAAGATACAGAGAGGCGAGATAATTAAGCAGACGCAAGATGTTCCTAAAAAGATGCGAAAGATGCGCTCCCACAATCGTAGGAAAACGATATCGAGAAATATTAAGGAGTCTAGTGCTATTGTAGAACAGAAGGAAACGTACAGAGGTCTACAAGCATTTCCTGGAACTTGTACGTATCATTTTAATCATTTTTGTTCAGATTTTATAGTAAACTAATCTCTCTAACGTCTAAAATAAAATTAGTTTATTAAGTCTAATATTAAAAAGTTATCTAATTTTGAATTGAGTACCAATATTCATTGTAGATAAAATTTATCCGTTAAGAATAATAATTTACTCTGATTCTGGCTTTAATCATTATACATTTGTAAATGTTTCTTAAAACAATTTAAATTCTATGTATACATATGTTTTAGTAATCTTGAAGCAAGAAGAAGAAGAATTAAAAAATAATGGGGAAGATAGTGAGAGAAACATTAATTACATTTCTGATGAGGAAGAAATGCCAGCCGCGTTGCCTAGATTTACGGTTTCCACATGTAGTGCAGTCAACTTGGTAGCAAATTATGGGAATACTTCCGAAGAGAGTAAGTAGAATTTTTAATTCGCATTGAATTTTCGTAAAATAATCTTGTTTACAGGTGAACCAGAAGAGGTACCAATTAAGAAAATAAAATCAAATAATAACACAATCATAAAAGAAGATTATAAAATAGAAGAAGGCGTAGCAGAGTCAAGTGACAATCGGACACACGAGTCTTGTAATTCGTCACCGAAAAATTCTACTCGTAAATTTGTTAAAAGCAAACAGAGTATAAATCGGAACATGAAGCACAAGGTACAAAAGCCAACAGAAAAGAAACAGCCGTATACCTCGCACTTACTCGAAAAGCTACTCTCGGGTTCTATTCAACACGAGAGAAACTTAATTTGTCAATGTGTTAAATATATAGTGGATAATAACTTCTTCGATTGAAATTGTACAATAATTTATTATTGATATTCTACCTCACTTTTCATATAAAAATACATTTGCTTTCTATGAAAACACTCAATTGTTATGAATATAATATTAAATTAATATATAATATATAATTTATATTACAGTTTCCGCGTCTAAAAATATTTTACATTGATTAAGTTTTAAAAGAATCCCTTTTCCTTTTCTTCGTCTGTCTTTTCGTAGGTTTTAAGGGAATATCTTCTAATCTTCTCTTTTCTCCGCTTTTTACGGATATGAGACTTTTGTTTCCTAGCAAGCCGAGCAGCTGCGTAGATGGTAAACCTAATTCCTCTGCCTATTTATCGGCAGTTTTATATTGCAAACCTAATCCTAATTCCTAATAAAATTGCCTAAAAACAATACACAAAGTGGTAGAACGTATTAAAGTGCTAGAAGATACGAAATAAGCGCATGCACATATGAAGCATTCTGCAATGTCCATCTACTTGACCGCAGAGTCATCTCGTAGATTGTATTAATGCTAAATCGTGTGGAACATTCCTCCTATTCGAGCGTTTTGGCGCGACTGTAACTGTGTGACTCGTGTGACTGTATCATATTCTTGTGTCGCGTTATCGTTACATGCGTGACCAGGCGGAACAAAACTTATCCCGCGTGCGTTGCAGCGAATGTGTTAATTCGGAAGCATGGCTACTGCTTATAGATTGAGACTTGCAATTAAATTCGGAAGGAATCTCTCGACGCCCTTAAGACGAAGCTTTGAGAGGAAACTTTTAGAGAGACAATGCCAGAGACTTTCAGGTTTATATATTTTTATGTCATATAATTTTGCTGAGCTTCGTTTAACTCTTGAAAGTTTCGCAGTTTGATGTCGTGTTCTTGTTTAGTATAAATTGAATTTGTTGCTGGATTTATGATTTGCCACAATTTTAACATCAAATTATTAATCTGTGGATTTTTATTTGAAATAAAATATTTATGGTACCACTTAAAATAATATGTTTCGCAATATATATTTTGATCTTGATATTCTATATATTTTGATACATGCACTGTTTGTATTTCCTAAATATACATATATTCTATTCTTCAAGTGCATAAAATTCATAGTTTATAAATTATAATTATTATTTAAGCTCATTTTTTATACATATTTTGAATGGATCGTTTTAATCATTGGATTTTGGTAGCTTCAACAGGTATCTCGGTGCGATGCTTTTCCTCTCAGACTGCAACACAAACCACAGAAACTCACAACATTATAAAAGATACTGAGAAACCAACAGGTAAAAGAATTCCTCTTCTTCTCTTCTAATATATCTCCAAGAACACATTGGTATATAATGTAATGTTTCTCTTTCTCAGGTGAAAGCATAAAACATGAATTTCAATCAGAAACGCAGATGCTCTTGCAAATTGTTGCAAAGAGTTTATACTCAGATAAAGAGGTAACATGACTTCTATTTTTTATTGCAATTCCAAAGTCTCATTGCATATTTATTAAAGATTAAATCTTTTATATAATTATTAGGTCTTTCTACGTGAATTAATTTCCAATGCAAGTGACGCACTCGAAAAGCTAAGATATATGCGTTTGAGTGATTCTAAAACTGCAGAAGTAGTCGGCGATAGGAGTTTAGAAATCCATATCGGTACTGATAAACAGAATAGAATTCTTACGATTCAAGACACAGGTATCGGCATGACCCAGGAGGAACTGATATCAAATCTAGGAACTATCGCGCGATCTGGTTCCCGCGTAAGTATTAAAGACAGGCTGAACCAATAACAATACTTTAAATTATCCACTGGTTATTGATTTCAATATAATGCCTGACAAAAATACATTCGTTAAAATACAGGGATAAATTAAGTTAATAGTCTCCATTATATTTTATACTTTTTATTGACTTTCTCTGGTTAGATTTCAAATACAATACTATTATTGTTCCGTAATAATTTTGATTATAATTTACATTCCTTGTTAATTTAGGCTTTCTTAGAAAAGTTAAAAGAGAAACAGAATGCCGGCGATTCTTCTCAAATCATTGGACAGTTTGGTGTTGGGTTTTATAGTGCTTTCATGGTTGCTGATAAAGTAGAAGTATATACAAAATCGTATTCAGAGAATGCTGAGGGCCTCTGCTGGATTTCTGATGGGTAAAGTATTATTAATAAATTCGTTAATTGTTTTCAAGCATACATCATTAAACAGTTGTTTTTTGTAGTTCAAACACTTTCAAAATCTCGAAGGCTGAGGGTGTTCAACCTGGAACAAAGATCGTCATTCACTTGAAACCTGAGAGCCGAGAATATAGCGATGAAACTGCAGTTAATCGTAAGTGATTTTCAAATCAATTTCTTTAGCATTTCGTTAATACTTATTAACATTACAGGTCTCATTACCAAATATAGTAACTTTATTAGCAGCCCCATTTACGTGAACGGGAAGAGGGTTAATACTATACAGGTAAATAGTAAACACTTGTTAGTATATAAAGAGGAAGTGTTTGTGTCTTAACAAAAATCTGAAAAACTACTTAAATACATATTTGAGCAGTAGCTTTCTTATATACTCCGGAATTTTGTAATATAAATAATATTCCTCAGCCGTTATGGATGCTCGATCCGAAAGATATCACACCTATGCAGCACAACGAGTTCTACAGATTTATTGGAAATTGTTTCGATTCTCCACGATTTACGCTGTATTACACAACCGACGTTCCACTCAATATAAGAGCGTTGCTATATTTTCCTGAAGAGAGACCTCCGTTGTACGATTTCACGAAAGGCGAGATGAGCAGCGTCTCGTTGTATAGTCGTAAAATACTAATCAAAAGTAAAGCGGAAAACATTTTACCAAAATGGTTGCGTTTCGTAAAGGGAGTGGTTGATTCCGAAGATATTCCTCTGAATTTAAGTCGCGAGTTGCTGCAGAACAGTGCCTTGATCGGGTAAGAAAAGAACATTTTTAAATACAGTATTCATTCGAACAGAATTATCCAAACTAATTGCGATTAGGCTAGTCAGTAGTAGATTTTATACTTTCTTTTTTATGAATCCTCGCTATAATTCATGATTTTGCATCTCCATTTTTTTATGTTACAGTTTTCATAAATCCTGTCTACTGATCATATTAATTTTCGTTAATTACAGGAAATTGCGAGATGTTCTAACAACACGAGTTTTGAAGTTTTTAAATGAGAGATCTCAGAAGCAGACTGAAGATTATCATAAATTTTATAAAGATTACAGTATCTTTTTGAAAGAGGGTATTGTGAGCACTGACAACCAAAAAGAGAAGGTACAATCAGTTTCGTAACAATTGTATTATCTTTGTTATCATTTAATAATGTTTTACAGGAAGAAATAGCTAAACTTCTGAGATTCGAGTCGTCTGCCACTGCACCAGGAGAACTAATTAGTCTTACGGATTACTGTAAACGAATGCCTTCAGAACAGACTAAGATATATTACTTATTAGCGCCAAGGTAATTAATTTTTTAATTATTATTAGACTGCGGATTCTTATGGATAAAACTGTTACATACGTAACTGGAAACTTGACAAGTATCCATGATCAATCTCTTTGTACAAACGACTTGAGGACTGATCTAATTTCAAGTATGCATGGTCGTACAAGCTGTGCTTGCAAAACGTAACAGTGTATCAATTGCTTCAAGATTTTTTCTAAGCCTATTAAAATCACTCATGTCAGTTATGTATTGAATCTAAACATTACCGTGATAAAGGGAAAAGGGATACAGCAAATGATGTCTAATCAAAAAGCTACAGATTAATTGAACCCAACGCCTGTGCGTGCTTGTACAGAAAGATTGATCATAGATCCCTGTCAAGCTTGTTACGTCTGTAGCCATCTTAACTCTCGCAGTTTACTTATTATAGTCAGATTATTATTTTTACTTACTGTTTAATTATAGCCGAAGTTTAGCAGAACAATCGCCATACTATGAATCGCTAAAGAAACGAAATATCGAAGTACTATTTTGTTACGAGGCACACGACGACGTAATCTTCTTACATTTGAGGCAGTTTAACTCCCATAATCTGACTTCCATCGAGGAGAATATGCGTGAAGCAGATTCGAAATCAGAGAGTCCCGGTAAGTATTTCATCGTTAGACCACAGATTTTATTCTATCTGCAAGTTGCAGTTTTGCAGAAAACACTTGGTTACAGTTTCCAATTGAATTAATTGATTAAATATAATATCAGATTGTGATAATTTGTTTCCCATATTCCAGGTGTTATCAATCAAGGGGAGATCGATACTCTGATAACTCACATGAAAACTGTTTTGTCTGGGAAGGCGCACGATATTAAAACGACGAATCGGCTCGAATCGTATCCATGCGTGATCACGGTTCAGGACATGGCGAGCGCAAGGCATTTTACGCGCATACAAGCTCGCCAAGTGAGCGATGAAATGTTGTACTCGATGCTTAGACCGTGTCTCGAAATCAATCCCAATCATCCGATCATCAAGAAACTTTGTGGACTAGTGGGCACCGATCCGAAATTAGCAGATCTCCTAATAAAACAGGTACTGCCACTTTTTTATTTCTATGCAAAATGGGACATTAGAATAATACGCCTTGTTGTTAGATCGACATTTGTTTTAAGTAGGATTGTAATATGTGCATTTATAAAGCTTTCACAAGTTTTATGCACTGAATTCTACGTTTCACTTTAACATGTTCCAGCTGTTCACTAACAGTATGGTAGAAGCTGGTTTGGTCGACAACCCGCGAGTGTTGCTGGCATCGATGAACGAGTTACTGACCGCAGCATTAGAAAAAGTTTAGATCTCATTACTTTAATTCCATTTGATAAATTACTTGATACGTTGTACATTGTAAAGTTTTTATAGATAACATGTTAACTTAATTGAAATATATAGACATAACGAGACAAAACGTAGGCAATTGTATTCTTTATTACAATAGGTTGATCTTGTACAAATGAATTATAGCCATCTAATTATAACAGGTCGATTTCCTCGTCGTTTAAAGGATTTTTAATATATCGATATGTATCCTATCAGCAGGGCTAGTTTTCCTTTTCTCTTCGCGTGGAATTTCGAAGTTGTACCCACACCTTCGTCGTCGTACAATTATGGCAAGTTACAGTAAATTATCAAATAAATCGATCTATTTATTAATTTGTAAGTTATAAATCAAGTACAAAATAGTCGATTGATAAGTAAACTGGGAAATAAAAAATAGAAAAGAAGTTATACGCCTGTTCCTATCAATTCCGATTGCTTGAATTGCTTGTTAGTCGAACTAAATAAATTCTACGAAACTTAAATTATTACTAATCGATCGATAGTTCTACATAATATTGCGTATTTGCAATCAAATAATATTTCACAATCGAAAATTACAAACTAATTATAGACGGATGATCCCTTAATCGTCGATTTGTGATGAGATATAATGAACAAATCTTCTGTGCTTCGACGCAAACTGAAATTTTCACTGGTCTTCGATTCCGATACAATTCATTTTAAGTTAAAGCTGTACAACATTCGTATTCTAATATAGAACAAATTCTCTATGCTCGATTGTATCCGAAATTTCAGAAAGGGGAGGCACAGTTCACAAAAATTAACAATACGATTTTATTTTCCTCTCGGTCGGAAACGCAAAAGAAGAAAGTCACCCTGTTTCGCGCGTTATTATTATCAGACCGCGGACTTTTATGCAAAATGAAATACTTATCAATTTAGAAAATTGAATATAGATCGAGATTTCTTTTATCCTTTGCAAATAGTCATGTGTACTTTTCTCGCACATGAATGCATAAAATCCGCAGTCTAATTGTTACTTATTAAACATTATTATTAATAGAGGATTCGCTAAATAATAGAATAAGGTGGCTAGCATCCTTTACAGAACAGGAACATAAATTTGCCAGAATTCTCTACGTGTTAGAAAAGAGTATACCTCTCCCAATTGAAATTAAGCTGCCTCATTCATCCAACGGGAAAAGAGAAGTATATATATATATGGAAGTACGGTATTTCAAGAGAATTCCTCTGGTTTCTAAAGCCCTTTTCATTCAAAACAAGAATACCCTCTTAAAAATGATATATTAGGCACAGAAGTCGCGTTTACCTATAAAAATTAATTAAACGCTGCATCGTTCGCGCATGGAATAATCGGAAGTTGGCAGTTTTCGAAAATGTTTCGTTATTTTATCTGGACAGATCTTCTGAAAAGAATTGTATGAATGATCGATGGCAAGAGCGCGTGATCCACGTTTGCTGAGCAGTCTTATCGAGTAGAGTAGATTAAAAAATGTTAAAGCGTGATGTGTGTAAGTAGTAGCACCATGTATGCAATTTACGTCTGGTCTGAACCTATGGTGACTAAATGGAAGAAGTTCGAAGTATAAAAGAAGAAATAATAAACAATCAGAGACAGAAATAAAGATAGAAGTTAAACGAACGGAACGTTGACTTAGCACTACGTACACGCGAAAATGGAATACTTATCTTCCGCCATCTCTTCATTTAAAAAACGTTGGATAGTTTTCTCGTTAATATTACAGTCGTTATGATACAAGTCATAGTTATTTGATCATTGTATAAACATTATTATCATCACAGTAAAAATATTCTCATATCCTCTTTTCAAACTATTCGTGCCTCGCTGCAGTAAAACGCTAACAGACATGCACATATATTCGCCCTAGCAAGCAGAGCACTGTGTGTTCCTTCATTTCTCTCTTTTTCTTCATTTTCACTAGAGTCAATTTCAATTTACTTCGCTAGGCTACGCGATACTTATTACCTATGTATTATTAAGTAGTCCTTCTGTCTCGTCGTAACCAAAATAAAGTCGGTTAGCAAATAGTAAAAATACATAAATGTACCTATATATGTACCTTTTCTTTTTTATGCAGTGGAATCATAGTTGCGGATAACATTTAAGTTTAAACGATAACTCATTAAATAATAGTCATTGGTCTGATGATGCGGTCGGTGATAAAAAAATTCCAGTAAGAAATTTCAAAAAAGAAAATTCCTTAACGCATAATAGTCGCCACGGTGTACATATGTATATGCATAATACATATCCTTGTATGTATACAGATACATACGTATGTCAGTTATTTTTTTGAAACCTCATCCCCTTTGGTAGAATCGGAAATTGTGATCAAAATCAAACTGAAAATGGTCCACATAGCATAAAAATCGTCGAAATGTAACTCGCCTATCAAAAGGAACGTGTCATTTAAATATCAATCGCAATTAGATTACTCAATAAACTTCTGTCATTTCTTCGGATACATCAGCAGTTTTAAGGGGCTAGGATAGTAACGTGACTTTTCTAACATTCGTCGGTAAAATTTGACGTTTTTTGTCCTGTTTTATAGATAACCAGGCGAAAATAGTGCAAAATATTAATTTACGGGAATACACTTTTCGTCCTTATATGAGAATATTTTTTGGTCGTCAGGTACTTACTTCTTCGGAAAAAAGAAAGTTAAATCTGGCGCGGTCTGGCCATTATTTCAATCAAAACAATTTGGATATAAAATCGCTTATAAGCAGAGGCATTGTAACTACGATTTTTCATCCACATTATAACGCTTATATTGCTAAATATCAGCATATTTTAATTAAATGATAACTAGACCGAGCCAGATTTGATTCCTCTCTTCCTAAAGAGGTATCTGACGACCGAAACATATTTTCATATAAGGACGAAAAGTGTATTCCCGTAAATCCATACTTTTGGCTAATTTTGTGGGTAACATTGACAGTCTGCCTTATTGCGTAGCTATCGGAATCTATCCCCTTAAGCCAAAGTCTCAGTGATTAGACAGGAATTTATTGGAGAAGCTAATAACTCCACGAAATGAAGACAATCCCTAATTTTCAAATACATGCACTGTCAATTACAGATTTTCATATGAAATAAAATATTTATGGCATCGGTTATAGAAACTGTGTGTTTTAGATAGAAATTAGGCATTGCAATATACAATGAACTTTCGATACTTCATACATTTTCATACAGTCTATAAAAAGGTTTATATTATGTAAGAAGATTAGGGATCCTCTTAATTTCGTGTATTAGAACGTTCACCGCGAAACGCGTTAACGGAAACGAATGAATTGCTCCCAGATATTTTCGCACTTGCGGTTGAATAGAATTTGTTTTCGTCGAGGATCGCAAGAATTAAGTACGTCCTAAGCTCTACCTACATAGGAGATTTCCACCGTTCGTTAGCTGCCTTTGTACACACCCGCTGCCCGCGATAATATGTATGTACATCCAAGTATTCTTCTCGTAATATATTCACATTAAACGTTCTCTTAAGCACAGAGAACGGCGTTCAGTCTGTAATCGAGTCTTGGCACCGGTGTTCGTCACACCGAGGTCTGCGTGATGCCGTTACCGGATAACCACAGGCGACCATTACTCTTCTGGTCGGCGATCTCGTACTCGGAGTCGTCGATTTCGCACAGGTTCGTCGAGAGGTCACTGTTGCTAGTCGCGCCGCCCAACAGCGAATTCCTCTCTTCGAGGGTGGTGATCACCGAACCGATCTCGTCAGCCTCATCCACCTTGTGGTGACACCGGTTCCGTCGGGTGCTCGGGAAACCATAAGGCACTACGTCGTCTTCCTCCTCGTCGGATTCCAACGTGCTGAGGCGACCATTCAACGGGTTCGCCTCGTTCTCCGTGTCCGTGTGGATGTTGTAGTGCGGCAGGTAGCTGTTCGGATGCCGGAGGTAACTCTCGGAACCTTTGTACTTGTACTCGCCCTCGCCGCCGCTGTCCAACGGGTTCAGCCGCTGCGTCTCCGGGCACTGGTGGTACTGCTCGGAGAACTCGGTACCGCATTCCGAATCGCCGACGTATTCCGACTCCTGGTCTTCGTTCAACGTCTCAATGTCCCGCGTCGGGTCTACAGAGCCGTGCACTACAAATCATTCGACTTCATTATCGTACGTATTGCTATTTGTAATTAGACTGCGGATTTTTATGCTACGATAAAATATGTATCAATTTAAAAACTGCATGCAGCCTTTTTTATGAATGAATAAGATCTGCAGTTTGATAATGGGATTGTCTTAATGTTTGGAAGCGACGGTAGACTCGTCTATTCACCTGACGGTAACTGATGAGTGTTCGATTCGTTACTCTCATTGCTGTGGAAGCTGGACGAGTCTGGTACCTCGCTTCCAGGCACCTCCGTGATATTAGGCAACGGGTTTTGGCTTGGTCGGACCCAGTCTGAACAGTCCCAGTGATACCCTAAAAGCATTGCAGACAACAACTGTATTCGGACACGCTACATGCGACGAGCCAACCGCCGCGATACGGAGTGAAAGAAGAGAAGATAAAAGCGGAGTCTCTGATGTGAACAAAGGATTGTAAAGATGAATTTAAACTGTTCACTTCAGATGTGCATCCTGGACCATTCACCCATAGTAAAAAGACGTTTTCATCCAAAGTTAGTAATGAACGAAGATCAAGTTCTACTTTCGATGAATCCATCGGATGGATTATTCCGGACGCACATTCAACGTGACAAATTTAAATTCCTTAATAAAAAAGATAGAGAAGGGATAGCGGCAAGCGAAGCGACCCAAAATATTATTTACGTGTTCGCGCGTTTTGGATACTTTCAGTTGATCGGAACTGTGCGCCTCTGCCTGTCTATTTCGACTTACCACCGACAATACGAGGATCATCCTCGATGGACGTCATGGAGGCAACGGAGGTCCCACCTCCATGAGGCACGCGACGAGAAGAATTTAGTAGAAGTCCTCCAGTGGTCAGCTCTGGTACCACTGGGCTCGCTCGTTTCAGGTCTGTTAGCGCACACAATACGATACACCAATGTTAATTCGAGTTCGCTACACGCCCAAGTCAGTAGGGATCGTATAATTTGTCCCTCGGCCTGAAAGTGGGAACGACGCGACCATGGTGGGGACTGGTACTTGATGGGGGTATGCTAGGCATGGTCAGCGAAGGTGCATGAGGAGAATAGTAGTGGGGATCGAAATACGGGCGAAGAAGAGGAGCGAGCCGTGCGGAATAAATTATACGATCCCTGCAAGTCAGTACTGTTCTACGGATATTCATTCCCAAGCATCCGATGGTATTCATACTCTACTACCGTATCACTATTGCGTACCAGCACGTTCCATTGTGTGCCATAAATTGGGAAACCAGAAGTGTTGCACAAAATTGTATAGTTTATTTGATAATACAATCATTTAATTGATATAGTTTCCAATGATTACTAATTCAGAATATTTGCTAGATTTTTTTTATGAAAAATAAGTACTTGCAAGATTTTTAAAACATATTACATTCGGTGTTTGATGCAACAATGGTGTTTATAATGATACGCGGTAGTATAACATGTTACGAGAGTATGATACGACTGGATGCGTGCCTGTATTAATAGAAGTAGGAATGGATAAGATAGAAGAAAAGAAGCAGGGGTGAAACAAATCTGAATTTTTATCCAAAATAATATCAATTTCAAAAACGAAATCTAAATAAGAATTTCTTTTACTTTCTAAACACTAAAAAGGAATTTCTATAAACATCATGATATTCAGTTTTCTACAGATATTATACGTGCTTTATTTGAATTTAAGAAGTTCAAGTAACTCGTAAATTATTCATTCTAAGAGCAAATTACCAGTTCCAAAATTGCATGGATGCAAGTAGCACATAATAATTTAACTCGGGGTTGTTTGGGACGATAACTAATATTTATTAATCCTGATGAATTTAAAAAGCATTTATTATCGTACCATATTGGATCTACCATTTTGAATATTGAATTTTTTTATCAGATTCGTAATTAGAAACCTAAAAAACCTGTATACATCAAATTTTGAAAAAGCAGTGAACTTGATAATTTCATAATTCGCCATGTTAGATCAGCCATTTTGAATTTTAAAATTCTGATATAGATTCGTAATCAGCGACCCTAAAAACGGGGCAATATATGGTCTTAGTATTTCATAAATGTGTCTAAAAATTCGTGGCTCAAAGGAATAATATACGAGTTATTTAAAGTAGTCACGTTACGAGAATCACCCTGTACAGAGGTCAACGACTGTTATTCCATTTGAGAAGATTCGAAGAGTAAAAGACATTAGCGAAATTAGGAAGATACAGCCTCTGTATAGGATAGAAGTAGAAGAGATTATTGAGCTATATGAATTCCACCCACGCATGCGGCAAGCGAGTAAAAAACAAAAGTAAGAAGCTACGATGAGAGGGGGCACGGGCGAGACGCGTGTTACTCACCGTTCTTAATCTTGGTCGTGTCCGTGATGAAGGAGGCTAGCTGCATCTGCTCTTGCCAACTAGGCTTATGGAGGCTATCCGTGTCGCTGGCTGTAGCGTTTCCGCCGACCGGGTTAGGGAGGGTCAGGGACGAAGGCGGTACGGGTGTGCTTCTGTTCAGATTTCTCAAATAATCCGGCGGGAAATTCTCCAGCTCGTCGCCGGCGCTACCGTAACTGCGAAGCGTGTCGAGATTGTTCAACGCAACCGCCGCGGAATTACCGTAGGCCGGCTCGTTGTTCGAGCTGGGGGTGTAGGAAGCAGGTCTTGGAGGGCATTGGGGAGGTTCTCTCTGCAAAAGAATCACACGAAAAACCTTAAAAAACTCGATGCATACGCGCGCAGGCGAGGGGAGAGCTTATACCGATGTGAGCAAATCAAAATACCAAACGAAACGAACGAGGAACTAATCTAACACTGCCGTTCAAGAATCTTGAATACATGCGGCAATTTACAAATGAAATGATTCGTACCTGTATCACTTCTAAGTTGCTCAGTTTCGAACTCCGCTTGAACTCGTGCTCGTTGGGCCGCGCGGAGTTCAATACGATCTGCTTCCTAGTTTCATTGTTGATATTGTTCGCCCTGGCCCTCGTGCGTTTCATCCTGATGCGTCGGAACGCGAGGAATATGACTATCAGGAATACGTTTAACACAACCGCGACGCCGATCCACATTAGCTGCTCCCATGTGATGTTTAAATGGCTGGATATGATCGGTGTTGAGTACGCCGGGTTGCCACAGTTCAATCCTGTCATATTGGGTGGACAGACACATCTGTAAGTTCCAATCTCGTTCACGCAGGTGCCGCCGTTTGTGCAGGGATTAGCGTCGCACTCGTTCACGTCGGACTCGCAACGCTCTCCCATGAATCCTTGGCACTTGCATATCGGCCCATTGTTCCCTTCCTCGCAAACACCACCGTGGATGCATGGATTCGGGCTGCAATACCTGCCGAACTCGCATCGTTTCCCGCTTAAACTTGGGCCAACACAGTCGCAAGTGTAGTCGCCTCCTTCAGGAATGACTTTGCAGCGGCCTCCATAGAGACAAGGAGAAGAGGCACAGGGATCGGTATCGATTTCACAAGCAAGGCCCGCGAATCTGCTATGACACTGGCACTCGTAAGTGTCGCTTCCCGAATCTTTACAAGTTCCACCGTTCTGACAAGGCTGCGAGCCACAAATTCCCGGAGGCACAAGAACTGTCGCTGCGTCGCAGCTGAATTCGACGTTAGCGAATCGTTTCAAGACTACCACACTGCTGGCTCCGCTCATATGCAATGGTACGGAGATTCCTGCGATACGAACGTCGTCCATGCAGCCCATGAAACCACGCTGGACATCCTCGAAACCGAGGATCGAAGGATGCTGCCTGACCTCCGCGCCTAAGTAAAGATCGTCCGATTGGAGGTTTAGAATGTCGTTGATACCGGGCGCTGATCCGTGAGCCACGTGCTTTCCATCCACGGTCAACGTCGCGCTATTACTCTCTCGTTCTAGTTGAATCTCGTGCCACTGACCGTCGCTCACGTACATGCTGTTTACACGCACCAAACCTTCTCCGCTGCCTAAGTCAAATTTATACTGAACAACTCCGTTCACAACTTCTAGGATGTTGTAATCCACTTTGCCAGCCGCGTACATCAAGTTTCCAGTTAACTGAACGGTTCTGATCCTCAATGAGAGACTAAGGCGATCCTCGATGGTCTGCCTGATGATAGCTTTGTCGATCCTGTACCGTGCGTAGCTTTTACCGCTGAATGATATGGGATTCCTCGGAATGTAACAGGACTCGTCGTGGCATTTAGAGATGTCTATGTCGCAAGTCTGACCTGCGAAGCCTTCGGGACATTGGCAGGAATATCCTTGCATCGACGAGTCGGGAATGCAGACTTTGAACAGTGGGCACGGATCTCTGGCGCACTCGTTTACGACCACCTCGCAGTGAGTCCCGGCGTACCCCTCTTTGCAGCTGCACTCCATCTTGTGTTTGTGACGCGGAGACACGAAGCTCATCACATCGGTAGCCACCGGTGATATCTGGATCACGTCGAGGACGATTTTGTGTTGGCAATCACCGTAAATGCAGTAACCCTTGTTGCACTTAAACCTGACGATATCCTCCACCACCAACTTCGTCGACTGCTCTAGATCTCTGATATGCTCGTTCAAACGCTCGCGAATATATTCCGATGTATAAAAACTGATCGAGCCTAAAATAGTTGATCTCTGCTTCACGGCGAACAGAAGGTCTAAGTCGTTATGCACCGCTTGACGAATCGCTCGAGATTTGATTAAATTTATCTCGTCCGTGGATGGCTGAACACTGATAATAATTATATCCTCCAACGTACAGTTGATCACGTTGCGCACCGTTCTTTCGAACACCTTGCGATGACTCAGTATGAAATCCTCCGGGCTGACCTCCCTGAACCTAATTATCACCGCGTTCTCCAGCATTCTCTCAGTAATTAAATTCACATTCACTCTCACGGTGGAATAAGAATGAAACTTTCCATCCGTCACACTGACGTTTATTCGGTATTCGCCGACGTCCAATCGCGGGAGAGCTACCAAAGTGCCGTCGATCTTGTCGATTTGGAAGAGGTCGTTCGGTATAGGAGACGATGGGACCAAACTGTATAAAAGCGAGTCGTATTGATCCTGATCTGTCGCGTGGACTTTCCCGATAATACCTCCGGGATACTCGTCCATGTACGAATTAACAGTCACCTCCAGGGGAGTGATCACTGGCGGATACTGCGATTCTCCGATCACTTTGATCATGATCCATGCGTCGGAGTACAAATGGGGTTTGCCGTTGTCGAACACGCGTACGTGTAACGCGTATTTATCTTTCAGTTTGCTGTTGAATTTGGTCGCTGTCCGCAGGCTCCCGTCCTGTTCTACTCTGAACGCGTTACCTTCGTTCCCGGACAGGAAATCGAAGGTATACGGGGCGGCATTTGGCTCGATGTCCGCATCAGTTACTTCAAATTGCAACACGGTATAGCCCAGAGGCTTGTCTTCTTGGACCACCGCCGTGTAGTTTGATAAAGAAAACAGAGGAGGATTGTCGTTTGCGTCTAGAATCTCGATGTTTACTATCACGAAGCTGGAGAGCATTGGTACGCCGCTGTCCCGAGCGTGGATCTCCAGGTCGTAACTGCCGATCTGAAAGAGAGAAATGATCGTCGTAGACTGCGAAATAAAACTTATTGAAAGAAGTTCGTTACTTATATCCATTATCAAAAATATAAGATCGGTATCTTTTACATTAAGTCACAAACATGGACCTAACGTGACTACAAAACAGATTGTAATTTGTTCTTGAAATGTATTGAGCTGTATTTGATTTGTACCGACCTCTTCACGATCCAACGACGCGGCAACGGCAATCTGCCCCGTCCTCTGATTGATCGAAAACTGCCTTTTCCTGTCGCCTCGTTCTATGTAATAAGATACATTTCCATTCACTTCGCTATCCAGGTCGTTCGCATACACCTGAAATATTAATCGTAAGTGCAACCTCAGTTAAAATTCATTTACTTTACTACTGTTCTCATTTGTGACTGACATTATTTATTAACTTAGCTGTTAACATTTATGATAGTTAATTAATGTATTTCATTTGACGATTTAAGCATTACAATATGCGCACATTTTAAATACTTCGTACACTTCATGCATTGTTCATATTTCATGTACATTTAGCTTGTTCATAAATGCATAATTTAAGAAAATAATTATATATCATTATACACCGTTACAGAACAGTAATCTGTGCACTCACCTGAATGATTTTCTCTCCTATTTTCGCGTCCTCCCTCACATCAGCCCTGTACGACACTTCGCTAAAGATGGGTGCATTATCATTGCTATCGATCACAGTAATGTTCACCGTGGCATGATTGCTGAGAGGAGGGATGCCTCCGTCCATAGCCTGAATAGTTAAAAAGTAATCCCTTGCCCTCTCGTAATCCAACTGTTCAGCAATAGTGATAACTCCGGTGTGCGCATCGATTTGGAACTTTTTATGCTCGTTCCCGCCGACGATTGAGTAGTAAACGTCCGCGTTGACTCCGGTGTCTTTAGACGTTGCAAGCACTCTGGACACTTCCGTGCCAACTGCGTAGATCTCGGGCACTCTCGAGAAATAAACTTTCGATGCAAATTCCGGTGGATTGTCGTTGATATCCTGGACGTTGACGATTAATGAGGTGACGCTTGTTAATTGAGGAGTTCCCTGATCCACCGCTTGAATAGTAACGTTGTACATCGCCTTTGTTTCTCTGTCCAAAGGTTTCCCAAGTGTCACGATACCGCTATCCGCGGCGATCAGGAAATGACCTTCGGCGGAGTCGATGAACTCGTATCTGATCTTGCGATTGATACCGATATCATCGTCTGTCGCGTGCACCTTAGTCACCAAAGTACCGACCTCGACATCTTCTGGCATCGTGGCGCTGTAAGTTTGCATCGTGAATTTCGGCGCATTGTCATTTAGATCGGAGACGAGAATCTCCAGCTGCGAGGAGCACTCCCACAGAGGCTTGTCCCTGTCTTGAACGTGAGCAGTCAAGGAATATTTTGCCTGAGTTTCTCTATCCAGCTGGCCGACGGTCTTCAACACGCCTGTTTCCTTGTCTAGCGAGAATTTGTCGTTGTTATCACCGGTTAAGTAGAAACGCAGCTTGGCGTTAGGTTCGTCGTCGTAGTCGGTAGCTAAGACAGTCAGCACGTAGGTTCCTGGGTGCGATCCTTCGGATAATATCTCGCGGTAACGATATCTCAAACAATACGGCGGGTTGTCGTTAACGTCGAACACTTGGACTGTCACACGCGTCTTGAATACGTATTTGCCGTCGGTGCCGACTATCTCGAGCTCGTAACGGTCCATCGTTTCCCGGTCCAGAGCCTTGGCGACATAAACTTCGCCGGTCGATCTGATTTGAAACTGGGATCGTGGGTCGCCTGATGTTATATAGAATTCTATTGGCGTGTTCACGTCAGAATCTTTATCCACAGTAACTAGCTTCACCACCACGGTCCCTGGAAGAGCATCTTCATTCACCGCTGCCTCGTAAAGATCGTCCACGAACGATGGCGGGTTGTCATTGTAATCTTTCAATTTCACATGTACCGAAGTTCTCGCAAAGTGTTTCGGATTCCCGTTATCCGTAGCGACCACCTGAAGATGTTTCAAATATTTAGTTAGAATTATTAACATTTTATTAAAACATAAATTCATGATGTAAATCAGAATTCTTAGTACCTGGAATTTGTATTCCGGTTGTTTCTCCTTGTCTAGCAGAACCAGGGTCGAGATCCAACCAGTGTAAGGATCAATCGTGAAAACGTTCGCTAACTCGCCGATGTCTGATCCAAAGGAATATCGAACCTCCCCATTGCTACCTAAATCATCGTCATGGGCGATGATCTTCAAAATAGACGTTCCTTCCTCGATATTCTCCGCCAAACTGATACTATAAGGATTGCTTTCAAACTTAGGAGCGTGATCGTTGTCGTCCAACACCTGAAGCGAGATTTCAGCCAAAGCCGTCAACGGTGGACTCGAATCCGTTTCAGCCAGCACTCCGATTAAATGATTGTCTTTAAGTTCTCTATCTAATGGTTTAACTAGCGTAACTTGTCCGTGGGAGTCGACCGAAAAAAGTGGAGAGTCCTCGTCTCCGGAAACGATCCTATACGTGACAGTGTTGTTGGTTACTGTCTTTAGTCTCGTTATCGGTGTGCCGACAGGCGATGCTTCGGATATGAAAAATTTGTCCTCTTTGCGTTCGAACAGCGGTGGAATGTCCTGTGGTCCCATTATGTAGATGTTTAGGGGAACGTCCGCATGGTGAGTCGTCGCTCCGCCTTTGTCTTCGGCTCGGATGAATAACTCGAACAATTGGTTTTCTGCAATTTAAAATAGTTTATTTTTAGTCTGATGGAATTATCTCATATTTCTATATAAACTTCTTCAATTCTTTTATAATTTCATCAAATCAAATAAACTTCGGAAAGCAACTGTGAAGGAATGTAGATATTCCACTTACCCCAAGGTATCGCGCTTTTCTGTAGGAACATCGCTCCGTTATCAGGATTGATACCGAACAGCGATTTGGCTTCCGACGTCTGAGGTTCGTATATCGAATAAACGATTCTAGCAGCGTCGTCTTCGTCAGCATCTTGCGCTTTCACTTTGAGGAACGGCGTGTTCACAGTCAAATTCCCATGTATACTAGCTTTATACTCTCTCAGAAGAAACACTGGCGAGTTATCGTTCTCGTCGCCAACCCTCACTCGGACCATTACGAATCCCGACCTGCCACCTCCATCGGTAGCCATTACAGGTATCTCGTACAGCTTCTGGTTCTCTCGGTTCAATTTCTTCCTAGTTACGATCTCCCCGGTTTCTCTGTTTATATCGAACACCTCTTTCATAAAATCTGAAGCTATGGTGTAGACGAGCGCTCCGTATTCGCCGAAATCTTCGTCGTTCGCGATCACGCTTGTTACCAATCTACCCGGCAACTGATTCTCAAGCACCGTCACCTCTACCACCTGTAAGAATCGTTTATTATGTGATTTGTTCTATGAATTATTTTCTGATTCTTTTTAACAAAACGTACCGGATTGGGGAACTTGGGATTGTGCCTGTTCGCAGGTAAAATCTCGATCTTCACTCGAGCGAAGCTGGTGTACACGTTGTCAGTAACGGACACGTTCAGCATAGTGAGTTTCTTCTCTCCAAAGTTCTGCATGTTGATCAATGTGATTACGCCGGTCGATTGGTCGATGTTGTAAGTCTGTTGTTCGTTACCACCGACGATCGTGTATGTCAATTTCTCGTCCACGTAGTCTGGGTCGCTGGCGGACACCACGGTCACGAATTGGCCCCGCTCCGCGTGTTCGGACAGCCAGCACGTGTACGAGGGCTGCTCAAACTTCGGTGAATTGTCGTTCATATCGATCACCGTCACCCAGACGTGAGCCGTGCTCGAGAGGCTCGGCACGCCGCGGTCCATCGCGATCACCGTGAAATGGTGCGATTCGTGGCTCTCGTGATCCAGGGATCGCTTCAGGAATATCACACCTTCCTCCGAGTCGATGTGGAACAGATCACTACTGTTTTCCGTGTCATTCTGGATTGCGTAACGCACCTCCTGGTTTATACCTACGCAGAAAGTTGATATATTAGAACGTGTATCATATATAAATCTTTGTTTGTATAATATGTATATGTAAAACCTTGTATCAATTAGTATAAGAATTATTGTATTATATATTGTATCAGTCATTGTATAAAAGATAGTATAAATTCCTATATCAATTATTGTGACATTCATTACATGAAACAGTGTTTCAATCACTATATGAGTACATGATATAAGTAATTGTATAGAAAAGTGCAGAGGATGGCAATGGAGAGTAATAAAGACATACCAGTATCATTATCCCTCGAGTGGACTCTCAACACGGAGGTGCCGAACGGCGCTGCCTCGGATACGGAGATATTGTACGAATCCTGGGTGAATTCAGGTGGACAATCATTCACGTCAAGCACTAGGATGCTGACGAGCACCTCGGCGTAGACGCCGGACACACTGTCGGTCGCGCGCACCGTCAGCTCATACTGCTTCTTTTGCTCGTAATCCAATTCGTCCACCACGTAGATCACACCTGATTTGGAATCGAAGAGAAGATTGTAGACCCAACAAGCATATGGCAGGCGTGTAGCGTCCACAAAGCCGAGAAATATTTTCTTTTGCTAGTAAGGCGTGTATCAACTTGTATCATACCGTATCATTATTGCATGCGTGAAATATACGTTGTTCGTAAGTCTCAAGTTTAAATATCGCAAAACTTACAACGGAGACTAAATAAAAATTTGTTCAAAATAATGAAGTCTAATTCACTCTACTGATCCAAGAGGCTTATAAAAGAGAACTGCAATTTGGTGAAATGCAAGATCCAAAGAATTGTGAAATTTATATGAAATATCATTTAATGAAACACAAGAACAACCAATTATTTTATGTGACAGATCTCTTGATAAACAATAAGTAGGACACAGGTAAATACACATCTTAACGATTTTTGCGTGCTGATGCGTCGATTGAATTAGAAGGTTTCGTTCACACAAACAGTCAGATCATGTCAAACATGAAAATATTTTTAGTATTGATATAGAAAATTAAATCTATATAGGAATTTCCTTATATTTTTTAAGAATAATAAAATGCATTCCAATTCAGATCTGTGTCTTTGGAAATTATATTTTCTATAGAAATAATTTGTCCACGAATTCATTAAATCTGCAGACTAGTTTTGTTTTTGATTGTTAATTGTAATTTAGTAATTGTTCATTTATTGTTTATTGTTTGACCGTATAGTGACCAGTTAGTGTGATCAAACCTAATGCTTAATAATTGAGCTATTTATTATGAAAGTAGATTGCTAACTTGCTAAAAATTTAATTTCATCTTGATTCAGCTTCTGTTCAATATGAGAATTAGTTCGAGAGAACATGAAAGAGTAATTAATATTCCAATAATTGAAAAAAGAGAATTCCACTTTCATACTAAACAGGTCAATTTTAGAATTGAACCCCTTGACGAAATTACAGGAATTTAAACCCTTAGTGTACACACCTCATGGAAATTTCTTTGGTACACATCTATTATTAGAATTTGATATTCCTCACGTGTACAGTAAGTGTTAATTAAAATATCAATGTTGATTTATAGACTGCGGATGTCTATGCATTTATGGGAATTTCCAATAATTTAAAGAAAAACAGACGTTAATTTAAAAAACATACGAAACATCCACGCAGTAAAATACAATTTATAATGTTTAGATAAGCAAGCAAATGTTTATATGCGTTCCGTTCCTTTAATTCTATTTATAAAAATAGAAATTTCCATAAACATCCACAGTGTACTGATTTATTATCCGATTTATAAATTTGTTGAAATGAAACATTCTATTCTTCGTACTACGTAATATTCATACTTCTTTAATCTAATAGCATTTAGGTTTGAATATAATTCATTTTGGGAGATAAAGGATTATTGTACTGCCTGTTTTTTTTTTCAAAATCGTGCACTGTTAAAGTGGTTGGCAAGCTGTTAGAAGTGGATTAGTAGTTTTAATATCGAAAACATAAAAAAAGAAATAAACCTATGATGCATTTGTGTTAGGAAGAATCTGCATTTTATGCTCATCTAAAATTTCAATGAAGCGGGCGACCAATTTGAGTGCGTTGAAAAATGATTATCGTTGCATGTATCGGGCTGTGCGGGTTCAGTAAAATGGAAATGCGTTCGTTGTTTATAATTATTGCCAACGAGAATGGCAAAGTTACGATCGACTCTCCTGGAATCAAGTCCATTTCTACTTGTATCATATTCTCGTTGCTATTATACGATGCGCCTATTATCACTGCGTATCATCAATGCATGTCATCGTTGTATGTATGACTATATCATTTACTATGATTTGTTATAAAATTTTTTGTTCACAATTTGCATCCAATAAATTTTCTAAAAAATAATACTCGTTCATAACTACTTTGCAGCAACTGTGATGTGATACGATACAAATCTCTGGTACAAGTGGATACACGATTACAGGATTGGTTTTAATGCAAATATATAATTTGTCTTCTCATGAGAAACAGATTGAAGGAAACTCATCGTTACTGACGTGAAAGTCGTGCATGATAGAAAGAGAGAGAGGAAGAGAAAGAGAGAAAGAAAAGAAGAGAGCGAACAGTGCAGTAGGCAATTGTGACAGTGTGAAACAGCAGGCCGATAGAACTAGTATTTTTTTATACTCACAAGGACCATTGTTACTGTCGGGGGCTGCGAAACAGGGAGATACAACAACACTTTAATTTCTAGTTTAACCAGATAAGCATTCGTAAAGAATAAATTCTCTACCCGAGAGCCAAACTAAACCGATTCTACATTCTTTAGTACGTAAATACTTTTGAATACTTTTATAGGCCACTGTACATTTATATTTACTAGAAATTTAAGAATAAACTTAATATAACTATATATCGAATAAATCAATAAGAAGTAACATTTAAAATTATTGAATATAATGATATATATAATTTATAATTTCCTTATAAATGTTTGTTGAATTGCAAAAATATAAGAACACATTCATTTTACGATTTCCATTATGTTTATCGTGTTTTGATTAAAATGAATAAGTCTTTGCATATAATACTTCTTACTGATTTACTTGATTTACTGTATAATATTAATTATTTAAAGAATAATCTCGGTTCAACTCGTTGGTAGAGAATCATAGGTGAGACGGATAAAGAAAAAGGGTATTAATTTGTAAAAAACAACTACTGAGACGTATTTCGTATAGAATAAACTCTTAAATACGTTTACGAGCAATCCTGTCAATTACGAGTCGAATAACGGTAGTGTTGATTGGGAAGAAGTCCTATTATAAATTAAGGCATAATTGAAATAAAAGTTCTTAAATTACTTAAATGACGCAATGGTTGTGTCAATGATCTCGATCGTATTAAATGAATTTTGTACAGAAATAAATGGATTGCCATCATTTAATAGAAATATGATTTCAATTAAACTTTAACTGGTAAGAAGACTTTTCCTCAACCCAATATTATCATAGATTGTGTTACGTGCGACGCATTCCAACATCCCCGTTTTACTACTAACTCACCACTACGCTTGATTAGAATTTAGTCACCGATTACTAGACTGCGGATTTTCATGNTGCTCTATTTTTAAACAAATCAAAATTCATTTTTGTAGACAAATCCAAATGGAATTAATACGATATTGTCATTTTAAATACACGAAAGACATAAATCATGAATATCTTTTATTGATTTAATGTAAAATGTCTTGAAACGTGAAACCACGAACGAGATTAAACAGAAAATGGTCCGAAAACGTGGCTGCGTTTTTTGAATCTTTGAAAGTGACGTTGAAAGGTACATTGTTCGGATAACTCGATCGACTTCCGTTCTGGAGTGCCGCGTGTTTAATTCAATCTTCGTTTTTGAAAAATTGTATCTACCGTTCAACTGACCGGGCACGTTCGCTTACCTGTGTTGAAATCCAGGGCAAATTCTTCGAAATCGTTCCCCTTGGTTATGCTGTATATGAGTTTGCGATTCAAGGGTGATTCGGCGTGAATCGACAGAGCCAGCGGCGAGTGAATCTCGATGCTCTCTAAAACGCTGTCTGTGTAGAATTGCTTGTCGAACACCGGCATTGATCGGTCTATCACCTTCACGTTCACCGGGACTACGATCGAGCACGGCGTAATGCCTAGAACAAGGTTTCAAGTTTGTCAGAAAATGTTTCAAATGAAATTTAGTTGTAATGACAAATAATCATCTTGTAACAAATTAGCAAACAATGAATTATATATAAAGCACACCGTATATGGAATTATGATAAATTTCATCTATACATATATCATTTTTTGTTTGACTGATTTTAGATAAGATTAAATAATATAATGTGAATATGAATTTAATGATACATACGGGATATAAATATCTTATACATATATGCGATAATGGAATAATACAAGAATTTTGAATTACGTTAAATTGATATATGACAGTAATTAAGTTTAATACTTACCACCGTCGTATGCAGCGATGGTGAGTTGATATTCGCGATTGTGTCCTTCCAAGTTCTGTTTTAGGGATATCTCGCCCGTCTTCCGGCACACTTTAAAGAGCTCCCCATGTCCTTTCTTCAATTCGTATCTGACTTCTCCGTTATCACCGCTGTCCATGTCCACTGCGTGCACCTTTACAAATGAAGAAAATTAGAAAATTCATATAAGACATGAAATAATTAGCACGTATATTTTTATCTACTCACTTTGGTGATAACGTCGCCCTTTTGTGCGTCGACGGAGACGACGGCGTAGTATGGCAGGTTGACGAACATTGGGCAGTTGTCGTTGATGTCCGATATGGTAACGTTTACGATCACATGCGCTACCCTGGGCTTATCTCTGTCGGGTTGCTGGCTCTTTGCCTCGACTATCAATTCGTAATGGTCGCATACCTCGCGATCGAATCTGTAAATCAACAGAAATTCCCATTCCAAACATTGTTTGTATTATGTCAATCATTAGATAAGATTTGCTTATAGATTTCCACAAACCTGATGCCGGTAGTACGAATCGCGCCGGAGGTTGGTCCGATCACGAACATGTTTGTCGGGTTCAGTATACTGAAGACAACATGTTCGTTTAACGCGGTACCCAAAACGTTCACTACTGCAACGGTCGTGATCCTGGTCGAGTTCTCCTGAATGGTGCCTTCGTACACGTTCTTCTGGAACATCAGCCCCGAGTTCTCCGACTTCCTCACCAGCACGTTCACTTGACAAACGCTCGAGTACTTCCCGTCGGAGACGCGTACTCGGAGCAGGTAACTTTTCTTCATACGATCCGGATTGTGGACGGTGATCACGCCCGTCTGAGAGTCTATGTCGAACGTGTGACCCTTGTTCCCGTCAATTATATCGTATCTGGATAAAAAGAAAGGATTGTTTTATTAAGGGCTCCAGAAGCAGTCGTGCTCAACTTAAAATTAATTCACGTTTATATAATCATTGACGTTTTACTTGTTATTATTTAAATTTTTACAATCTAGACAGATTAAGCAATGAAATCGATCAATTACAGATGAATATACTTCGTATTTTATAAAAATTCTATGACTTCGCACATATTTCAATTCTCCGTAAATTTAAAAGATATACATAATTTAAGAACCTACTTAAAAATAAGATGATGATGACTTTACGCGTTACAATTATTTTTTTCATAAAATTGAACAATTTTTCATGCATAGAAATTATTATATTTGCGTTGTAATATAGAATATTTGAATTGCATATTAAAATACACGTGTTGGAAAAAGAACGCGCCAAGGATGATGCCATTAAACGTAGGAAAAAGAACGTCGACTCTTTGCACCTATGCAAATTCAAAAGTAACCGTTCCCTCCTATTAAGTGGGTGCAGGGCAATTTTCTCCCAACATCGGAGGGAAAACGAGCGTGTATCGGGCAACCGACACACAAGTTTCATGCAACAATTATAATGGTAAATGAATGCTAACGAAGCCGCGAGACGCCGTATAAATATGAATCACCCAGTGCAAATACACAGGTGTCTACCTTTTTAATAGCTTCAAGGTGTTTTAGATTCATAACAATCCTTATTAATAGATAATCTCCATGCATTTCTTTATGCAAATGAAACATACTATTTTATACAAATTTAAATATTTTATACAAAGTTAAATATTTTTCGATCGAAAAGAAATTTTGTAAATACTTAAACAGATTTTACATTATATTCATTATATTTCTATAAAATATTTCCGGTCGTTAGAATGGTATTATCCTTTAATTAATGGTAATTACGAAAGAAGTGTACCTAAGTGGAACTCCTTCAGAACTGTCAGGGTCGACGGCGCTAACTTGAATAACTGCAACGTTCTTGTAGGTGGGCAGTAGCACAGTGGTATTGTAATCGTTTTGAAGGAATTTGGGCGGGCAGTCATTGACATCCGTAACTACGATCACCACTTTGGCCGTGGTCTCGGAAGACAGCTTCGGTTTCCCCAGATCGGAAACCTTTACGTGGAACGTGAACCTCGGCATGGTCTCGTGATCTAGGACCATTACCGTTCTAATGGCACCTGTGCTGGAGTCGATATGAAAATATTTTCTCGGCAGATCCTCCACAATGTCGTAATTCAAAAGAGCGTTTAATTCCGAATCCGCGTCCTCAGCTTTAATAACTAACGGTGTGCTGGTGTTCGTGAGCACCAGGGAACCGATACTGGCGCCTTCGCTGATTTGCCCGTTATAAGTAGCTTGCAGGAACCTGGGCGCGTTGTCGTTACGATCCAGAATGTGAATGATCACGTTGCAGCTCGCCGAAGCACCGGCCATATTAGTCGCACCGATCGTCAAATTATAAAACTTGGTCTTCTCGTAATCCAGCTCGTTTTTGATAACTATGATACCTGTACTAGGATTCACGAAGAACGTGTCATCCTTATTTCCATTGATTATCTCGAACTGCAGAGACGAAGTGCTTCTAGCTTCCACGTATTTCACGTAAGTACCTAATTGTTGATTCTCATAGATCTCCGCGGACAGTTCTTTCTGTATGAATCTTGGTGGAGCGTTATCAGCCATAGTAACCATCACGTGAACTGGTATCGTATTAGCCAATGCTGGAGACCCATGGTCCGTAGCTTTCACTAATAATATGTATTCCGAAGAGACGCCCAGATCCAATTCTCTTGCCACGCGAATCACACCTAATTCCGGGTCGATCGTGAACATGTTGCCTACGTTTCCGGACGTTATCGAATAAGTGATTCTCGCGTTGTCTCCTCTGTCCCTGTCGATGGCGTAGACCTGGACGACGGCTGCGCCGATTGGTGAGGTCTCGTACACTTTACCTTGGATGATCTCCGAGGTGAACTCCGGCGCGTGATCGTTGTGATCGTGCACGGTCACTATCACTCTTGCGTAATTACGTTTCGCGGGAGTTCCCTGATCCTTTACCATAACGGTGAGCACGTGCTCTTCGATAGTTTCTCGGTCGAGCACCTCGTTCAAAGTCACGGTGCCCGTTACAGAGTCCACGTGGAAGATCCCGAGGGAAGCTTGACTCTGAGCGGCGTGAAGGCTATAGAAAACTTTCTTGTCTTCGTCCTCGTCGGTCGCGTGCAGCTGCAAGATTTTCTCACCTTTCTCCACGTTCTCTGATATGTCCACGTGGTAGGTGCTTTCAGTGAACTCTGGACGGTGATCGTTTATATCGATCACCGTCACCAGAAGCTGTGTTACAGCCGTGTGCACGCTGTCAGTCACGCCTATCGTTAGATTGTAAAAGTTCTGGGTCTCCCAGTCGAGTTTCTTTGCTAGTAACACGTTCCCGTTGTCCCGACCGATAAAGAACTCGTCTCGCTTGTCTCCATCTGAAAACAATCGTTGTTCTTCATTTACTGAGGAAAATAAAATATTTGGATCCAATTATAATTACGATGATTTTATTTGGAAAATACAAGTGAAAAATTGTTACATCTTTCTTTCACTAAAATCTTTGTATTCATCATATCGTTGTCAGTACTTTAATTAAACGAAGCGATAATTCATTGAATAAGGATAATCAGGTTTCGAATGTATAAAATGAACAATATGCAGATCACATTAATCCTAAATATGGCTTCATTATTCATTTCAACTCATTCAATAAACTTCAGTCAAATAACATAATGTAATAATATTTATTAATTTTCATATACGTATTACTGGCAATGTTGTATTTAAATATGAACGGCGAGATGTATTTGTTTCATAAGACATATAATTACATAAATTTACTAATTCGTTCAATACATAAAATATAATAATTCTATAAAAGATGTATAAAGTGACTTTATTAATTGATTGATTCAACTCACCGAGAATATCGTACCACAAGGAATCGCCGTCTTTGTCCGTGGCCTGGACCAGAGCCACAAGGAAGCCGACCTCATCGCTCTCTGTGACCTCGACGCTTTGATTGTTCGTCTTGAAGACCGGTGGATGCTCGGATTCCTTGGGTACCTCGACCACTTGCACGGACACCCGCGTCTGATGACTCCGCTGTGGTTCACCGCTGTCTGAGGCCTTTATCTAACAAACAGAGCCGCATGGGACCAAGTTAAACTCGATCTCAAGTTCGATCCTCCAGCAAACAACCGATCAGTCGCGATAAGACTGCTTTTTACATGCAAAATAAACTATATGGTAGCTAAGGTAATAATTTATTTTACTGAATGAACGTTAGATTGTAATTTGATAAAAGTTGTTGAAAGTTGATAGGCGCATAGACTGGGACAATTGAGACACGACGTGAACAGTAGTAATTAGTAAAAGTAATTTCCAAGGCGGATGATAAAGGAAATTTTTTCTGAGTATAATGATTAAATTGCCTTTTTTTTTTTTACAAGAAAACATTTCTCGAGTTACAATAATAAATTCATCTTACCATCATCTCGTATTCTTGTCCGGCCTCGAAACCCTTCTGGGAGTAAACTAGCCCAGTGGTAGGATGTATTTTGAACTTGCCCTTCCCACGACCACCCTTGATGCTATACTGAATTTTCCCATTGTCGCCGATGTCTTCGTCGTTTGCAAGCACCTATCGTAGACGAAACGAAAAATTATTCTCGATTCGTTGCACTCCTCAGGTCCTCTACTGACAGTAATACAAGACACAGAAAGAAAAATGGAACATTGGTATCGGTCGAAAGGAAATTAAATGAAAGTCCTCTTCAATCAAGCTGCTTCTAAGTATAATAATTAGACTGAGAATTTTTATGCAGATTAAAACCTTTATGATGTTTGTTTCAAAAATGTATTTTAAATAATCAATTCCTTTATTACTTCACATTTCATATTTCCCTTGCATGCATCATGTATCATTTCTGTATATTAATTTCTTTTAAATGCATAAAATCCACGATCTAATTATTCGCGAGAAACTCTGAGCGATAATTCAAAAAACGAGGCCTGATAAATTAGAAATTAAGCAAAACGCATCTACGATCTTTGAGGGATCAAATCTAAAATCTAAGAAGTGGTTAACAGACTTTATGCAAAACCTGACTTTAAATTGCGACAGCAGCCGATACATTTAACGTTTGATACCATTTGATATCAATTCATCAATTGCACTGATTCGGTATCAGTGCGATTACATGAAAGTTTTGTCAAACAAAGAAACGTTCTTCCTAGGAAATAGAAATAATATTTGACTTCCACTGTAAAGTCGATTCGTTCACTGTTTGTCAGTCTTTCAATAAGGTAGAGGTACTTATTACGAATTGGATGTACGGAAAATATAAAGAGTGTGCGTAATGTGTAATAATGAACAAGACATCAAAAGTATAATACACATTATTTTCGAACAGTAAAACAAATCTCAGTTTAGATTTCATTTTTTGAAATGATATCATAAATGATTTATTTTGTATAAAAATCCACAGTCTGGTGGTCATAAGTGAGATGGTGTCTTCATAATAGGTACTTTTACCTTAATCCACCGCGAAACGCATTTCGCTCATGACCTCGAAGCGTAGCATTCACGCGTTCGTCGACGTCATGCGAAACGAATAGTGAAACAGAAAGGGAAGAGGGGAAAAAAAGTGGGGAAAAAAAGTGTGGAAAGAAAGAACGCAGGGGATGATGCCAGATCTTCCTCCCCCCCCCTGTATCTGCTAAATATCGATCCGTGTTAAAGCGTATTAAAAACACAGGCCGCGTTTCTTTGCCACTCGAAGCTCATATACAAAGAAAGGCTTTGCCACGTTTTTTGCTTCATGCAGAAAAATGTTTCGTCGTTGGTTCATTAAACGGCGACCGGCTTCTAGTTTTTATTTAATGTTACGCCTTTTCCTCCGCAACGAGCGAACATGTTTCCCATGTGTCTTTAATTATCGGGTTTCAGGCTTTTCCTGCGATTTTCTCGTACTGATTTCGGCCATCGCGGCTCTCCGTTTGATGTTCGATTTGATTAAAGGACTTTTAGGTCATCTGGGTATGCAGAATCGCGGAACGAAAAAAACTGGGAGCGCTATTCGGCGAAAAATTTAGGTCAAGTAGTGGTTTTTCTGGGGATGGGAGCTCTTTGAAGGATGGACGGTCTGGTCGAGTACGAAAATTTAATTGAAAGCCTCAATAGTGTTTTAATATTGATGAAATGTAGATCGGAATGTATTGAGTGCAACACTAGAATCAGCAAAACCGCAGGAATGACGAGTTCCAGATATCTCCAATTGAAATTTTCATTAAAAATTGTTAATAAATCATGTTAGTAAAATTATACGAATTTCTAATGCTATTTAGTACGACGGAACAATTATTATATTTATATTATAATATGTTTCAAATATATTTGTTTGTCATTATAATAAATATACAGGGTATTCCACAAAACGCTGGATTGTCCATTATTTCCTAAGTTATTATATCGTCCTGAACAGCTCTATTTTGATAGGTCGATAAAAAGAAAATATGCAGACCCATTCGAAAAAGTTTAACTTGACCATCGTATCTCATTAAATAATAACATAAAAAAGAATTTATTTCCACCAGGAGATGTGCCCCCTTGAACCGTGCAACTTCCCTATAAAAACTTTTATCTATTTCCCATAACTTAGGACTAGGTTTCGTAGGACGCTCTGTATATCATATAACATATCATTATTTATCAAATTTTATTAATAAATCTATAAATAAAAAGAATGTATATTATTGTCAATGCAATATTGTTTCATTTGTTGTAGAGGAATCCTGGAGTTGTAACAAGCGTTTCCTTTCGTTTCCTGTCATGCTTCCCTTCGCATTCGGCACTTCTAACGCCACGCGAATATTATTAATTGAAACAAAACGATCAGGCGAAAGTCTCGTACAGATGCAAACATTCATTAACATAACAAGTACATACAGAGACGAGCAAAACGAGCAAGTCGCGTTACAGAGTCTTATACTTATAGATGGATACATTACAAACATATACAGGGGAAAAACGATGAACGATCACGCTACTCTGACCAAACTTCTTATCGACTACCTGGTAACGCATTTGTCTAACACAGAATCATAGGATTTTTAAGAGGCATAAAAAGTGGTCAATTGATAGCGTAAAAACGAACGAAACTATGTACAAGAGCATTACATATGTACATGTAGAATTTGAATTTTAGATAATGGATTTCGCGCAATTGATTGCATATACTTCACTGATCATTTTACATAGCGTTCATTTGACACAAAAAGATAAGTGACATCGAAAGAATGATCATTTTCGACTGGCCCTTGGGTAGAAGGGAGCGTTGAAGTCTGAATGCAATTAAGAAGCCGGTAGGCACTTGATACTTAATAACTCGTAGAGATAAATTCCGCTCTCGACCCAAATCCTCGGACAGCCACGAACGAGCTTCAATTATCCACTATACGGTTCACCGTAGCACGAACCAATAGCAGTCTCCTCCTCGGTCTTCATTCAAAGCTAACTATATTTTCTTTTTCCTTCCCTTTTTTCAACTCTCAACCCTTCCGCGTTGCGTGAACTTCGGTCAGAGTGCGTTTGCGTCTTTGAGAGGTCTCCCTATCCCTCTCGCGTATAACAAAAAGAAGGGTTGCATCGAACAAAAGAAGAGAAGATCGATCGAGTGGACCGAATGCATGGTTCCTAATTAAAATGAGCTTGCACGAAAATGCAGTATTGTAATTAAAAACGTTCAGTCGATCGTGCAGAGGATTCAGTGCACAGAATTGAATTCGTACGAATATTTGTCCTATAAAAATTATTTTAGGTTCTACGTGTAATCAAGGAATTTCTATTCAAATTTTAATAATTATATTTAATTAGTATATGTTAATTATTTAATAATTAACAATAAAAACTTCCTACTCAAATTATAAAACTTTGGATCTGATGATTTGTTTATCCCTTAATTGCTGTTGCTATCTATAATTACTTACACAAAGCTATAGACTCGCTTTTGTAAGAACAGTCAATTCATTCTATCTGGTAAACGTTAAGATAAACGAATTTCCTAGCGCATCGAATCCTCCGTTGAAGTATGTTAAACGTGTTTGTATAAACAAACGAAGACGTACAATATAAAAGCGGATTCATGAATCAATGCAACACGAGCTGGCGCAAACTATCCGATGCCCGCGCGGGGAATTTTATTGAAGCTTCCGCGGCAACCAGTCGGCGCGTTTGCCTTCTTTTTTTTATTCTTTCTCATTTGTTTTTTTTTTTTTTTTACGTGCCAGCGGTGTTCTTACCCTGAAGATACGATCTCCTGACAAGTTGTCGGGGCTAAATGTCTCCCAAGTTCCATTCTCTAGTAACGTATCGACCGAGAGGTCGAACTCCCGCGAGCGGTTCCTCGATTTCTGTCGAGAACGAGAGAAGGAAGCCTTTTAACTTTCGCATTATCTCCGATAACTCGCTTTCGCTCCCCCTCTACTGCGTTGTAATCCGTTTTCCTCGACGAAGCTTCATTTTATCCACCGAAACGTGTTTTTCATCACCGTTTTACAAGTTATGGCCATTGGAAGTTAGAATGCAATTGATTTTATGACTCGAATTCTATTGGATTCATATGCAGTTTTCATCTTTTCGCTTTAGTTTTATGACTTATTCATTTCTTAACATTTATTAGAATGAAAATGAGGATATATAAAATCGTATTTTACGTATTTCACTGTTTGCTTTCGAGATTCTCGTATCACTTTCAATTATACAAATTTTAATAAGTATTTTATTATACTAACTACGGAAGAAAAGGAAAACTGTTTTATAATGCGCGTAGACAAAATGATAATAAAACGTAACGGACTCATATCTAATGAAATTGAACCTGGCAGACGAGACTCAACGGCGAATCATGTATATTAAATATTACTGGTAGAGATACTGTCTCCGCTGACATCGGATTAACCAGTCCTACTATTCCTGCTCGATAATGTAACGCATATTTATTGCTTCCAGCTGTTTTCCAGTTTTACTGTACAATATTTTACAATTTGATACACGCGATGTATTTGTTGATTTATATCTATCAATTTCTGGCTCAAAAGTCCAATTTGTTTCATATAAATAAATAAATGAAATCGTCCTAAATTCAATCGATTTTTTAAATTCTTGTAATCAAACTCGATGGTGTTTCATGTTTTAATATAACTTGCGAACGATTCTCGGGTACTCATAAAAACCTAAATTAGTGGCTAGGTATTTTATGAATCACTAACAATACCAAAGGGAACGCCATATGGAAAATAAAATCAGACGGAATTTGAAGTTATGGTGAGCTTTAAAAAAGAGATAGCAATAGTTACCATTGAAATGCGTTTGTTTAAAAAGCGAAGGGGGTGATCCAATTTCTCAGCGACGAATGTACAATAGTGTCGCGGGGCGGAATCATAGACATAAGAAATAGACCGAGCGTCCAATTTTCATTAAATACGTAAAAGTACGGTACAGAAAATATGTTACGGTATAGTTTCTCTCTCTCTTTCGCATGTCGATAGAAGAAAAGAAACTCTCCCATTCATTTTCTTTTTAAGTTATTTCACGCCAAATCGATCATTTTTTTATCTCGATGTTAAGGAAATCGCTCAAAATGATATGTGATTCACCCGAAATTAGGGGGTGTTTCATTCATCATTTTACTGCATTCAAAATGGTTAAGAAGATACAAGTCCTTGAATTTTGCGAATTTTGTCGTGAAAAAAAATTGGAAGTGCTCTTCTGTGCTCTTCTTTTAATCGCCTAATCTCAAGTCTATGTTTCGGGTGATCGGTCTATTCTCATAAGTGTATGTATTTATGGGTGGGGTATCTTCACGAGCGAACAATATACACGGTGAGACGTCAAGAACGTAAAACAAAGATTTGTACTAAGGTAATAAACGAACGAATCATTTGATAAAAATATAAAACATGTTCTTTCTTACATGTTATTTCAATTATTCATTGGAAATAATTATTATTGTACAAATCTCTTGAATCGTTCTCAATGATTCACCGTACGTTTATGTACAACAAGATACGATACGGGACATTACTCTACAGTGGGTGGTACAAAAAGACAAAGAGAACAAACACAGGTCGTCTCGTTTCTTTTGAAAAGGTACGGTGCCAGCTCCTAATTCTCAAACTAGAATGTCGAATTACGAGTGAACTGAACAAACTTGCACGAAGCTTACCTGGAACAGCGGCTTCTCGGTGGACGGTGACGCCGGAATCTGAACGGTGTAGTACTTTTGCTTGAACTCAGGCCCATGATCGTTTATATCCGTCACGGCGATCACGACGCGGGTCGTTGACGAGAGCGGCGGTATCCCGTCGTCTTTCACCGTCACCTGAAACGTAAAATCAAATCAGTTTAGGAAAAAGCGTGCGAGGAAATTTCAAACAGATGCGCATTGGGACGTGAATCGTCGAAGAGCGTATCTATACCCCGGGGGCTTAACTGTTACGTGAACAGGAATAAAGATTTCTGAAGTATTTTCCGAAGACGAGAATCAAAGAAAAAAGAATACGATTTGCGTTATGCGAATCTTCAACTGTTCATTCAAATATTTCTTTCATTTCACGTAATACTTCAAAAATCTCTTGTTTTCTTCAACGAATGTGTTTAAGTATATGTTTCATGTGTTCATAAGATTATTAGTGGTTTTATATCTTGATCTAATTGCTAAATTGAAAATTAACGTTCCGGCTAAAATTCTTGACCGTCTATGTCTCACTTACAATAGTATTATACCACTCTCAATCATTATTATTCTTCATTGTTATATTTTATATATGTTACCATAATTTATATTTTATACTTAATTTTCACTTTGTTTTGTTACTGTATATGGGTTTTACAAACCCGTGTATGAATAATAAATAAATAAACAAATAAGTAAATGTCATACTAGGGATAATTAAATTGATGCACTCATGCATTCTTATTTGCGCATCTTTTTTTCAGTCAAGAGATGTTATTAAAAGTAAAACGATCTTATGGTCAACACAAAGGATAAAGAGGTAATGGCCGAAAACGGCTTTCGTTAAAGAAAATCGTCGAATTGCTATCACTGACCATAAAGTATCATATTATCTGCGCGCATTTTCGTACGTCCCACGCAGAAGCTGGGCTTTATTTCGAAACCAAAGACACGTTGCCCGAAAGGATAACGTTTATCTAGCCACTTAACCACGTTGTGCGCGGGATACCCTAAGCGTTTTCCAATGCATACCTCCGAGGTAAACGCCAATCCCTAAACCCTGTTTCGATCCATGCTCGCCAAACCTTGTCGCCGATCGAATCTGCCTATCCATTTATCTTACATCATACACTATGTACTGTCAGTTCCAAAGGAGGATTGAACGAAACGAATGAGATTGACATAAAAAATATCATGTCAAATAAAAATGATCTGATCACGTACCAAATTTTCTGATCTCATATTGAACGAATATTACGAATTTTTCTTTCACTTATGTATCTTATGCATATAGTAAATGTCCCAATTTCTGTTCACGTCACAATCGCTACTCACTGGTTTATGATTATATATCAAAATGGTTTCACTCTATTTTACCCCTTTAAGGATAAAATTCCGAAAAATCCAGAAAATGATTTTTAAGCATTCGTATGTGAAACTTTTATAAGCAAAGACCAAGTCGATATCTCGTAAAAATATACCTTACCCCCTTTGAATAAAAATATTCATAAAAACACATCTTACCCTCTTTCACTACCTCAAACGTACAATTTTGAAAAATACAGAGATGCTTTATAGTACTTCTATAAGATTTTGGCATCAGGACCGAAGATTTTGATATCTCTAATTTTTGATATCTCGCTAAGTGGCTGTTTATATTGAAGTGTTATATTACCACGTGTTATTAGTTTACTACATTATCAAATGGAAGTTTACTGGAAAAAGGAAGCATAGACTGGTTTAAGTAGTCGAACAGACTAAAATATATGGTTTGCGTTGAACTCGAAAAGTAAGGGAAGCCGGGGTCTTTGTAAGCGTAAATTGCTCAGAGGATCTCACGACGGAAGTCCACTTAATTCGACGCGGAAAGCCTCGAAAAATCCCCCAAATAACGATCGTGGAATTAGAACGTTTTCCACGACGCGATGGGTAAACGTAACAATTTTCATTAATTTGGCTCGGAAGGACAGGTTCCTTTTAGTAAATAGTTTCTACTAAGTTCAAGATATTATTAAGCCTTAATTAAAGTATAAAGTGCTCCTCGGAAATGGACCATTTTAAAGGGAAACTTATTTCAAACCAGGCAATTTGTGCTAAATATTATGAACCGAACTCGCGATTCCATTTTATCTTTAAATAGATATTTTCTGATATACGTTTACAAACAACTATTTCATTTGTACTGTACAAATGTACAATTTTAACATCAATTAGATATTTTTTGATATTTTAAAAGAAGCATTTTATTATACAATAATCATATTAAAATGTATATAACAATCATTTTGAAATAAGAATTTCATTCGTACAATATCTATCATTCTACAGTATGAATGTCAATGATGTACAGTATGAATGTACAAAACGAATTCGAAAAATGTGATGAAAATCGTTGCAGTAAGGCTCGCGGTATTTTCATTTTGCAACACTAAATAGGATGAAATCGGAGTGTGTCATAACTGGGCAATCGTGAGCAGGTGACACGAGCCTGGAACATAATCATCAAATTCAACTGTAATATCTCTTTGAGGACCGGGGGGAGGGACGTCGAAGCGCTTGTGCCCGGAGTGCTTTCATTATTTAACATCGCGACGGCAGGTGGGACAGGTTTTAATATCGGCCGCGATCTCATCGTGTTTCTGCCGCTGCGACACGAAAGCCATGGCTGGGCTTCCGCGAAGCCAATTTGCCGGGCAAATAGCTACAGTGAATTCCACGTAAAAATCGTTTGCGACGCGAAAAATGGCCCTCGTTTATCGCTATCGATTTTAACTTCGCGTTATCAGATCAGTGGCCTTAGTACACTTTACTTTTGTAAAGAAACGAATTAACAATCGTTTGTAGAAACGTTCTTAATCTCAATTCATGTGTTCCATTCTGTACTTTTGTATGGGCATTCAAAACAGATTAAAATAATCATTTGAAAAGAAAACTAAATAAAATCTATGATATGTGACTAATATTAACATTCGATGATTGTTTTGGTTTTGGGAACGAATTCCTATTAACGATTGTCTATGGAAACGTTCCTGAGCTCAATTTATATTATACCTCTAATCTACACTTCCTAGCATACTTTTGAAACAAATTCAAATTATCATTATATGCTTATGAAGTGAAATCTACAATCCTGTGTTCCATTTTATTTAACTTGTTACATTTTAGGAAATGTAACAATATTCGATGTATGTGACTTTAGTACAGTGGAACACTGGCTCTTGAAGTTAATTTTCGTTTCGAAAGGCTGTTGGAAAAACGAAACCAAACTGTGGCGTTACGGGTACCGATATACGGAGCATGTGTTTGTTTGTTCGGAAACTGCAGCGTATCTTCTAACAGGAAACACGTCTAAGAACCGAATTATTCGAGAAGAAAGTCGTTCGAGAACCGAGATTCTACTGCACTAGAATTCAGTGATTAATTTGATCGTTTCACAATTGTTCTTGACTTAATACAAGATATTAAGTCAATTATTATTAATTATTAATTTATTAATTTCCAATCAAATGCGTACAAATTATTCGATAATAACTCCTGCGCGATGTTTACTATTTAATAATATAATTATACGTAAATAAAGTCACTGTCGGAATACATTAATGCTGAAGTTTCTTTTGCGCAATTTTCCATTCAATTGTAATTGCGAATGCAAACGTGAATTTGTAATTTGTTACACAAAGCTTGCAATTTGCTCGTTTTAATGAAATACTATGCAACGTTCGGAGGAGTATTATTCATAATGTATGTCGTCGAAAATGCATACTACCGCGTGATTTAACGCTACTCATACGAAATGAAATGCTTGGCAGTCGAAATTGCAAGTCCTGTATTTATACATATGTTTCGGTTTACATAAAAATTATTGTGAAAATTATGAAAAATGAACTGCTGCTTATATGTCGAAATTTCTATTCCTATATTTACATAGGATTAAGACATATAAAATCATACAAAATTAATCGTTTCTACGTCTTTCACATTTATAATGTATAAAATTTTTCTAATTTGTGGGATTATAAAAATTGTACATTAAATGTAGGAAAAAGATAATATATATCCAATAATAAGATAGAAATGAGAAAAACAGTGAGACTAGACTTAAATGTTGGAAACGTAAGCAGAATAAAACGAAACTTTTTGTTTCGTTAGGACACCCTGCATTTTGTACGACGTGTCCTGTCTCGAGGACCCTATTACAAAGACCTGCGTTTTCCAGGATACCGTGATTACGAGTAACAACGCAGCAAATTGATTGCGGGCTCCCCTTCGTTCGCAATCACAAATGTCCTTTCAGCTAAAGACCTAATCCTAAAACTAACTCAATTCAACTCTTCCATTTAAGATTGCGTGAGCCATAAGTAATGACTTTCCTAATAGCTCCGCAAAATTTCTAAAATATTCCACAGTGTTTTATTATTGTAATATCTAATAACTGTTAAAATTTAAATGCTTCGCCATTGTTTTTACTTAAGGGTTCATTCAACCTTAAAAACCTATTTCGAGCATTAGAAACAGAATAAATACTATATTAAAACAAATTGTATGTCAGAAATGTATTTGTTTTTATATTTCTAGTATTGATGGAACGCATTTTTAATTTTATTCCAGTATTAATCGGTTTTAATTCCTGCATCGTGAACTGTAATTCTCATTAGGTATAGAGCGAATATATCAGATGATTTTAGTACGAGCTACTCGAATGTTTTATGCCCTGATTTATCGAGGAACGCGAAGCCTCCTCATCTAGCTTGGCTCGGTGAAATACGAGTTTCCGGAGCGGATCGAAGGTTTAATTTAAATATCTATAGCTCTCTGCCGATGCTGTACTTGATACATATGTCTTTGATCCACTCCTATATGCTCGTAAGCGGATATTGAATTTTATTTTTTACTACTTTCTATTAGCTTGGAAATGATATCATGGTATATAATGATACTAGCTCGTATTCGATGGCTTTAAAAAGCTCTGAATGAGGACTGATAATCAAAACACGGAAATGAAGTAACATAACAATAATTGTGTAACATAATTTAACTAAAAATGTCCAAACAGAAAGAATGATTATTTTGAGCACTCAATATCTGACCGAATGATAAATAAATCTGCATCTTTGCAATTGCACCACTGCATTTTATTTCATATGTAA